AATAAGTCTGTAGCTTACAAAAAATATTAGTAGGTACATGTCGAAGTGAAAGTATTCGTGAAAATTGTATTCCTCTAGAACAGCTTCGAATTTTAAAATGTTTTGTTCATCAAATCTCTAAGAGGCTATAGAGCTCTTAGCTTAATAGAAAGTTACGACAGTGTTATAGACGATACTGAACATGATGTCATAATTACCAAACCCCACACTATCGGGATTTACCAAATATAATAGGTCTTTTCTTTTGCATCGAAAGTGTAGCACTGAGCTACACTAGTTCTAAAAATATCGTTCCATTTATACAAATTGTATGGATTCAATATTTTAAGAAGTGGCGTGTAGCTCAGTGCTACACTTTCGTTGTAAAGGAAAAGACCTATTGTAACATATATTGACGGCTATATTGTATATATTCTCTTAAAAAAGGCTTATTTGTGCGTAGACCAAAAATACATACAAATATTTTTGTTTAGCGATAAAAAAATTAAAAATTTCGCACAGTATCCCTATATGGATGTGTTAGACGTTTGTCTTTAATGTGAGCAATAATAAACAAGTATTAGAAATTAAAAAAAACCGACTTCAAAAACGTGCAGATGCCATCACCACATCTTAACCAAATTTATATGGGGCCACCCTTGAGGTACCCCCTTACTAACAAAAAAAGAATCATATAAATCGAACAAGGTAGTCAAGCATTATCGCTAAACATACATAAAAAACGAAGAGTTTGAGGATTTTCTCATGGACCCAATTATTAGATTTTGACCAAATTTATATGGGACCACCCCTAAAGTACCCCCTTTCTAACAAAAAAAGAATCATTGAAATCGGACACCGTGTTAAAGAATAATCGCTGAACATACATAACAAAAAAAAATACTTGTGGCACTCGGGGACTGCCACGGTAAAGCTATTGCATAGCATTTTTTATCAACTTATGCAATTATAATTATTTATTAATGCAGTATTTTTGTTCTTTGATATTAATTCAAGTTTTTTCTTTGATATTAATTCAAGTTTCACTTTTTGAGCGTGGTGACCAATAAGAAAACAATTTTTTTCTTTTATTGAATAAATGAGAAGCTAATATTGTTTAAAATATTTTTATTATCTTACAATACATGTAGGTTATTCAGGAATTTTTATCATTGAAACCATAGGTTTATGGTCCCATATTTTGTTGTCGATTCTTGTGGATCATTATTCATTTTCAAATTCAATTTTTCCGAAATTATGTCTAAAAGATAGAATCATTTAGCAGCTAGTCTACATGCATACGTCTAGTCGCACGCACACAAACACCGTGCCGAAGTCTGCCAAACTGAAACGACGTTAGACGATTCATGGCTTTCAACGCCGCACCGCTGTGCCGGTCGGAGTGGGGGGTGTTAGGTTTATTTTCGTTACGGAATTTCTGTTTCGATTTTTCGAATTTTCGATTTTTCGGTTTTACGATTTTTTGATTTATCGATTTTACGATTTTTCGATTTTTCAATTTTTCGATTTTTCGATTTTTCGATTTTTCGATTTTTAGATTTTTCGATTTTTCGATTTTGTGATTTTGTGATTTTTCGATTTTTCGATTTTTCGATTTTTCGATTTTTCGATTTTTCGATTTTTCGATTTTTCGATTTTTCGATTTTTCGATTTTTCGATTTTTCGATTTTTCGATTTTTCGATTTTTCGATTTTTCGATTTTTCGATTTTTCGATTTTTCGATTTTTCGATTTTTCGATTTTTCGATTTTTCGATTTTTCGATTTTTCGATTTTTCGATTTTTCGATTTTTCGATTTTTCGATTTTTCGATTTTTTGATTTTTCGATTTTTTGATTTTTCGATTTTTCGATTTTCTTTTATTGAATGAATGAGAAGTTAATATTGTTTAACGCCGCACCGCTGTACCGGTCGGAGTGTGGGGTGTTAGGTTTTTTTTCGTTACGGTCGTTACGGAAGGTTTATTCCCGAAGCGAGTTCCAAACTTGTTACAAACATTATCTGATACGCATTCTTGAGCAGAATAATGTACGGAATGAGTTCTGAATAAATGTGTGCTGGAACGTTAAAAAATTAATGTTGCTGAGTGTTTTAACTAAATACAGGTCATTCAATTATAATTATTCAAAAAATAAGATTTTGAGGTTATACTTTATGATCAATTCAAAATTGCACAAATAAAAACTACCCTCCTTATTATATTTTTGCTGTTACAACGCTGTATAAGATTTTAATTAAAATTAAAGATAATAGACACTCACAAAACTAACCAAAAACCCAATTAAAACCAAAGGAGAAAAAGTAGAAAAATGAATTTAAATAAGCACGCATGCGCGAAAGTTAAAGTTCGTATTTTATTTAGGAACCAATAAAACTAGTAACAAACATGTTATGAATAAGTTTTTAATCTTGCGGAAACATCAAACAAGTTCAATTTGTTTGGAACTTTGCTCTGCTGGAACAGTTATTTTATACTGCACATACTCAATATGTTAGGAACTCGCTTCGGGAACAAACCTGGAATTTCTTGATTCGGTCGCCACACTCAAAGGGGTCTATTCTGTAACAATGCCTTTATATTTAACGGCCTTTAAAAATATTGGCGGTCTTTAAAAGTATATTTGCATTCGTTAATTTACTTCTGTCATTATTTAAACAGATTTATTTAAGATAGTCCTCTAATGTATTTTAAAGATCCGTTTAAATAATGACGGAAGTAAAGAAGAAAATATTTTTAAAGGCCGTTAAATATAAAGGAATTGTTACAGAATAGACCCCAAAGCCCGCGATAAAAGCTATGCAATAGCTTAAAAAAAATTGCAACGAATTGAGAACCTTTTTTGAAGTCGGTTAAAAAGGAGCTGTTACTTTAAATTATTCACCTTATGTCAGCAGAATGTGTAGTGTCCTAAGTGTTACAAGTCATTTCTAAATAAAAATATATTTGCATATTGCACAGTTTTGATCAGCATCCCTTGTATAGCCATAATTAGAGTACCTACTATTAATTAAAGCTACAGCCAACAAATATTCAAACTTTATGATATTTTTCCTTATTAAAAATAAAATATGTGATAGCATAAGATATCACAACAATAAAATTGTATATTGTTTAATGGTCAATCATAATTTTTATATCATTTGTTACTTTGCCATAATATATTTTCTAATATTACAGTTATATTAAACCATGAATATATTATATCAAATGAGAGTTCTGGACTTTATAATTGTTCTATAAAATACTAACAAAATCTTCCACTTACACATTTTTTATTATTTGAAACTTATTTTATTTTTATTTCATAAAAATTATTTTGTTAATAAGTGGAATTAATGGAAATTAATTATTAATTATATAAAGAAAAATGTTGGTTTGGATTACATTCAAAATAGTCCGTACCTGGTGGATCGGCCATATTGAGTCGTCGTAAGCCACGCCCAGTGATACCGTTTTGAATGTTTAAAAAAGATGCTTGTAGCGTCTCTCTACCTTCTAAACTCCATGTAAGAGAAGCACCTCTCGGCGACGTTGTCAACTACATTAAATCTGTAGGCTGGCTGACGAACTAAGAGGGAACCTATCAATTTAGGATGATTCCCAATGGAGCCTAGTGAGGCCTAAGTATCGTGCGGGTAACCCACCCTCCACACGTTACAGAGTAATTCTTCATCATCATTCATCATAAACTCGCGACTTTGAAGAACGACACAACCGATTTCCAGCAGTCATCAGTTGTGGAAGTAGCAATGTGTCGTTCTGCCACATAAAAATATGCGGATTTTGCTATACGCATTTTCACTATAAGCTCGAAAATTGACATTTTTGAGTTGCGTCTCTATTGTGCATATATCAACGATGAAGCACACACAGCTGTGACTGAATTTATCTACTGTACTAATTGAAAAGCGAAAATTTAATGTTTGTATATTGTATTTACATTGTTTACTATACCTAAAAATTATATTCATTAATGAAAAATTGGTGATCCGTATATTTAATCATTTATATACAGGGTGGCTCACGCTCAACGGGACGGAGCTTTATGGGAAAACGACCAAAGATATAACAAATTCGTTTGGGAGGAATACGTAGGTTACAGACGGCTACAATTTAAAATTTGTTAGATGTATACAGGATGTCCCACATAAGAGAAAATATACAAAGTTATAATATTTTTAATGGAACACCCTGTTTTTATTTTAGAATTAAAAACTACATCAAAAATAATGTCAGTTAACTAAAGGTTCCCTATTACTATTATTATTAGTTTTCGATTTATTTGAATTTTTAAGGAAAAAAAGTCTCCCAGAAATTAATTGTTTACTCTTGTTTGAATAATTTTTAATGAACTAATTTTTTTTCATTTATGTGGGACATCCTGTATACATCTAACAAATTTTAAATTGTAGCCGTCTGTAACCTACGTATTCCTCCCAAACGAATTTTTTATAACTTTGGTCGTTTTCCCATAAAGCTCCGTCCCGTTGAGCGTGAGCCACCCTGTATATATATATTTTTTTATTAAATATATTAAACCACTGTGATATAATGTTTCCCTATTTTCCGCCCTGTATATTAATCGTTGTCGTTGTCATTAGTAGTATTCGTTTGTCAGTTTATTTCATTTTGTACGCATTATGTTGAATAAAGCCATTTATTCTGGTTTCTCATTACAACCACTTTACTACTTTTCGAGGGTCATATTTTTATACATACTTTCATTACATTCCTAAAAACTTAGGTTCATTTACAATACAAACCTTTGGCATTGTTGCAGATGAAAAATCAATTTGTGCAGCATTGCTGTGTTGCCGTATTGTAAATTTTCTGACGAAATTTCGGAAAAATTAAAACCCTCACGTACAGCAAAAATATTCACATTTAGAACATTGATATTTATTTTTCTTTAAGGCAGAACGAAAAACCTTGTATGATTAACTTTTTTATGACAAAATGCTTATACATATTTTTTATTGCATGCGCTTCATGACGATATAGAACAGAACCACAACGGTTTATCGTCAGGTGAATCCATTAAATCTAGAAGCGAATTTATTAGCCCATACCCTTATCAAGACGAGGTACCTATCTATCATTTTTTTACACCTATTTGCTACGTGTTCAGATATATATTTTTAAATGGACACTTTAGTGTCACCGCTAGCCTTTATATAGACACTTGTAGCAGCTTTAGTATTTATTTATTTAAATATTAGACCATGTTATAGCTTTTTCACCAAACTGATATATCAAATTATATGTAAAATGTAACTTATATTAGTTTTATAATGTTATCACTTTTAGCAGAAATTGGACGAAACGGGCAGAGAAGACATAATAGGCAGTTATTTTCAACCAACGACAAAAAGAGCTCATGAACTACTAAGACAATCAGCCAAATTAGATCCCAGTGAAGTGATAGCAACATGGAAAGGTAACAATTTATACTGTATCAATCAACTTTAATATAATTTTTCTTCAAGCTATACGATTTTGACGATTGAAGAAAAAATGTTACATGTTACTCGGATTAGAAGGTGATAAAGTTCGCCTTCTATTCCTAATAACATATAATTATATTATTGCACGAGTAGGACATTTTATCTGACTGAAATAGGCCGAAATGGCCGTACAAATGTTTCAGAATTCACAAGAAGAAACAAATCTACTGAAAACTTGAATGGGCACGTATCTCCGAAGAAACAGAATGGAACGAATACCATTTACGGGATAAACAACAATGTATACCTAAATGGTAATTTTAAATTATAAATGATAACGAATCTTCAACAATATCCATTATAATACGTGACCAAATTAATATCATCAATCGGCTAAAAAGTAACATTAATAAAATAAACAAGAAACAAAGCCATATGTCACACAAAATACGAGCAACCATTTCCCTTCGGAAAACAACTATTCCTTCGGCTAATACCACAACAGATATTGCTGTAGATATAAAATAGTATATTCTGTAACAAGGTTGGAATGAAAATTCGATCCGAGTGGAAGATTCTGAATGCGAGCGTGAAGAACCACAAGTATCGAATTTTCATTCCAACAGAGTAACATACTGTACTTTCTCCACGACCACATAGTACGTAAGAGTTGAATATAGTAAGAAGCTTTGAACATGAAATATTTATTATAACTTATGTTCGGCAAGTTTTTACTTAAATCATTTGCAAATAATTTGTCCAAATCCATATTAGAATCATTATATATTCCCATTTTTGATGTTAATTATTTCGACTCGACAAACGCCGCTTATCATTATTCAGGCAAATTCAAACTAAATAATAAGTCACGTAGAACTGTCATGGCTACTTACGATGCGGGCGTGATATTCAAAGACATTGGCCAGTAGCTATTACAGAATGAACATTCCTGTCACTGGAGTTCGAATTAAATAAGTGTAAAATACATAAGAGGCAAGTGTTTCAGAATTTTCTTTCAATTTCAAGAGAGAGAATGTTCTTTCTGTTATTAAATGTGGTTTTAGAAGAACTACATTTAGTAGTGACCGTTGAGAAAAATAATTTCAACACTCTTCCTTTGATTTTGTTACTAATAAGGAAAACCTCATTCTATGACCGGTTTCGTTTTTATTAGGACTATGTTGTGACGAAATCACTAAATTTTCCGTTGATTTAATTATAAAAATGTTTAGTTCAAGTTAATTTCAACCTGTTAGTGTTCCCAAGAACCTCCTTATTTTTATTTCTTAAAAATTTCCATTTTTGAACATTTTCGAGAGCCCCGTAGTTCAAAATATAATTATTTACTGAAATTCGAATCTAGCTTGAAACGTTCAAATTCAGGTAAATTATTTGATCAAAATGTCAATAGGGCATTTTTTTAGTCCTCCGATTTGTAAATATTGGCTACTCCCACTCCGAAACCGAACTAGTTCGAGCGTAAAGTATAAGACAGGGCTCTTCGAGAATTATTTCGTTGCCGCTGCTCTTTTCCCGCTGCCATTTTTCTACTATTCTTGTGCGAGTGGCGAATAAGTAATACTGTCGTTTTTTTGTCGCCTGTGTTGACCTGTGGACAAAGAATACCTAAGCGAAACTGAATTAGTTTTCGTATGTACCAAAGCAAGGGAATTTAATACACTGGGAAACGTATGAAAATTAATCAATTTTTGTCGTTTGGTTCATAAGAATTAAGCACATACTAACGTAACAATTATACTAAATTCTTACTATGTTTATTAGGTATGTCAAATAGATTATTTTAATATCGAAATAAGTACTGTAGGTACAATAATGACAGTCACTACACAATAGCGAAAGCAGATGACCTGGTCATCCTGCAAATAGGGAATTTTGAGAACAATTATTATTATGGAACAGTGGTACAAGGACCATTCACTGCCTATCAATCCCAATAAGACGGAAATGGTCCTTTTCACAAGAAAAAGGATGAAAATTTAATTAAAACCTACAGAGCTCCTAAACACAAAATAAAACTTTGCAACAGAGGTGAAGTGCCTATAGATACACATACTTTGATTTTCTCTTACTATACAGAGAATGGTCGCACTGCGCAGCTTTCTGAGTGCCTTTTAAAAGGAGATAGAAAACTCCGCCATTTTGATGCCTTATTACGTGTTGCCTACATCTTGGCGTAATATTTTTAATAGGTGCGTTTTAATCATCCGCTTCTGCTTCGGAATTGTCGCTTTTCTTGTTTTAATCTGACAGGTTGAAACGACTAAACCGACAATTCCGGAAGCAGAAGCGGATGATTAAAACGCACCTAATATTTTGCTTTGCTGCTGTCAGTGTCAGTGAATATTATTTCTAGAGTCACAGTTTATTGCTAAAGAATCAGTTAGCTCACTCGGACCAGTTGAAAGTTCCAAAATAACATCCACTCCAGGGATACAAATTCAGGATGTGCAGAAGACTGCTGTTTTATTATAGGCTGTTGTCATATATTGTATTATCCGAGTTGCGCAGTGTATAAACTGGAACATTGAGATCAAAAGTGCCGACGCAGAGTGAGCGAACTGATTCTTTAGCTATAAACTGTGGTAAAGGCATCAAAATGGCCGCGCCCTATGTTGGGCGTGTCGGACCTCTCTCTTGCACCGTATAGTAATCAAAGTATGTGACCTAGATAGCACCTTTGACAACAAGTTAACATGGAACTCGCACTTAGAAAACATAATCAAAAGAGCATACATTCCTTATGAACAATGCCACCGACTGTGGGGCGCGCCTGGAGTTTCTTCCCCAGAGTCGTCACATGGACTTACATGGCCATCATAAGACCTACGCTAACATACGGTGCAGTTGTCTAGGTACCAAAAATCCAAAAATTGATAGCTGTTCGCAAAATGGAACAAATTCAAATAACAGCATGTCTTAATAAAACAGGAGTCATGAAAACCACACCAACCAGAGCCATGGAAGTCGTTCTTAGTCTCACTCCCATTGATATTTACATCAAGGAGATTGCTCTGATGACAATGACACGCCTCTGCACGGTTGGAATAGAACCTGATGTACGATCTGGTGAGGCGAGACGTCCCTTTTGGCAAAAGGCGCTCGATATGCTCCCACTGCTTCAAGTGAACATGAACTTCATCTCACTGAAATATATCTTCCATAAGCCATATGAAGTAATACCAGAATAAATTGAAGAGCCGGAAGTGGCAGGTACGATTCATATCTACATTGACGGTTCTAAAACAAAACAATGCTCAGGATGTGGAATATACTTCAATTCCTTAAACCTCAACATAAATTGTGCTGTGAGCAAAAATGTCAATGTAGTTCAAACTGTGCTGCTTTCATAGCAGCAAAAGAAATCTCCAGAAACAATATCACTGGTAGGAGAATTCTCATCTATACGGATAGCAGATAAGACTCACCCTGAACAGACTACGAATTTACTCATGGTTAGTACTGGAATGTCACGAAGCTTTGGCAAGAGTATCCATCCAACAATGTGGTCACCTTAAGATGAATCAAAGCTACATCGAAAGGTAGCCTTCTTGCTGATTCATTAGCCAAGACGGCGGCCAACCAAATACTTTTTGACCTGTTGGACTGACAACATCGGTAGTGACAGACCTATTTAAAGAATATTTCTTGTGAAATTAAAGGAGAGATGGGATGAAACAAGAAAGTTACCAGGGAGCTTTTAAGTTATCCTAACAACACTGCAACAAACAAATACTTGACTATGACCAGAAAGAATCTGCGTCTGATTACAGGCATTCTGACTGGTCATTGCCAAGTACGGAAGCATCTCCATATCATGGGGCTATCAGAATCCACACCCTGTAGGGGGTGCAAACAAAAAGATGAGACCATTGAGCATATCCTCTACGATTGCCCGTCGCTCTTATTTATTAAAAGATTTGTTTTTGGCGAGTATTGGATAACACCGACCGATTTAAGAGAAGGACCTCTTGGCGACGTTGTCAACTACATTAAATCTGTAGGCTTGCTCACGAGCTAGGAGGTGCCTATCATCTTAGGAGGATACACAATTGGCCTAGTGAGGCCTAAATGCCGTGGGGTACCCCACCCTCTACACGTTACATATCCAGGAAGTACTGTAGGTAGTTGTAACTGCATTTCGATTGCATCTCGATAGCAGCGACTTGGTTCCTCGAAGTGAGTTTCTCATATATTTCAATGATTGTTTATTTACTATTTAACATATTTAAATAAAAGACTAAGTAATTAAACGATGCATAGGTAATACGTAGGCGTAAATTATCTTTATAGGTACTTAATACTGATTTAGAAATTAAAAAAAAATTACAGTTAGATGCAAGAACGTTTAATAAAATTTACAAACAACGCAATGTATTTTTTTTTTTTCATGTAAAACAAAACTATATATTTAAAACTATCTAATTTCTAATTACTACTTAGTTAAATACAAATACTTAACTATAATGCAATTTTCACAAAACGCTAATAATAATATACCAAATGTTGCTCTACAGCTCTATACCAAATTGACAGCTATATTTGACGTTAAACCACCTCTAAAACACTGAGAAAACTTGGCAATTTTTTGTCCACGAATCGCCCATTTAGTGTCGTTTCTTGGGTAGGTATTCTTTGCTATGGAGAACTAAGATAAGAATATTTCACTACTAACCTTTCTATAAAGATGTATTTTAATGTTCTCATGCTCGACTGCCGTCAGTCAAATATTAGCAAGAAATTATTTAATAGTCCAAGAAAAAATTAGTCCTTATTAACCCCAATTTTGGGCCGCGTGTATGATTTCTAAGCTTCCGTAAGAAAGACCTGTCAAGTGTTACTGCAGTCTTGCTTCGCCGACTTAATTTCTCCATATCCAAGGTTCCCCCAGTCAATAGACGCTCCGCGACTCCGGCAATAAGTGAAATCTATAATTCATCACTCATTTTCGATCACGAGGTAACGTTACCCCCTTATCCGTCACTTCATCAATTGTAAAAAAACGCATCAGTTTGAAAATAATCCTTTAACAAGTGAATTTTCGTCAGGAATAATTTTTTCGAAAGTCCCACAACATTCACTGGGCTAATACCGCTTTACTTAGCGCCGATTTTATTTTAATTTATCGCGAGAAAAATAAATATTGTTTTTCTATGCCGATGTTGAGTGAAATATTCAGGATGTTAAAATGACAATCGTATTCAACCTGTTTTTGAAATTACTTCTGTCACATTAAGTATATTATCAGTTTTTATTTGTAATAATTTGTAATACCGTGGGAACAGTCGTCTTACATATATTTATTTTTTCAAAAATTATTTTAAAATTGCGTATTTAATTCTTTAATTTATGTATTCACTCGAAGCTTTCCGTTTGTAAATATATATTCTGAAGATTCAATTATACTATTAATTGATTTAGAGTTTCTCGCCGTTTATTTGGAATTTACGCCTTTACCGAATTATATTTAATTTATTTTTGTGGCATGGCTTTTCTTTTTTTTTTTAAATTGCCCATCTGGCTTTTGGTTCCACCTAGTTTTCAAACTGGGTATGACAAACGAACTTTGATTTTGCATAACAGATGATGTTACCATTTACACTATTTATTTATTTTTTATTTTATTTATTTATTTATTTATTTATTTATTCTTACATTCAACGGCCAAGGCCTATTACAGAATACGCACTTAACATTAATAAACATATATTTGTAAATAATACAATAAAAGCAAAACAAATTTTAAAGTAAAACTATAAATGAGATTGTATGAGTAATCTGAAAAAAACTCCAGTGGAGAAAAAAGGTTACTCACACATATCGCATGCGAAACAACTAATATATAAAGATGAAATTAGATACAAAAACATAAAAAACTTAATTACACTAAATATTTTAATTAGGAATATATGGATATAAATCAGGAATAAAGTTTTTTAATCTTTGAGATGGTAGTACAAAATAGATCAATTTCTTTACTCGAGTCATTAACCGTGGACAAGCATATGGTACAATGGAGACTGACATAATAAGTTTGTTCTGGGAGTGGGAAGAATGAATGTGCAGCTGTACCTGGAATTAATTCTTGGAACTAGGAAGTTAAGCTGAGCACATAAAGCCGGGCATTTAATTAAATGGTGTACTATTTTAAAAATGAAAAGAATTGAAGATATAATTCTTCGTTGAAATAAGCTCTGCATTCCAAATATTGTTAAAAGCTGGTCTTGTGGGTATCCCCTCTCAGGGTAAGTTCCATAAAAATAATAATGAAGACTCTTAAGGAAACGTCGCTGAACCTTTTCTAAAGTTAAAACGTGCACATTATAATTAGGGGACCATATTATTGAGGCATATTCAAGCTTGGATCTAACAAGGGCACAGAATAACAGTTTGCACGTATCTAGATTATTAAAATCTTTGATAGATCGTAGGATGGAACCTAGAACTTTATAACAAGATGCGACAGTTATGGCCAAATGATTAACAAATGTAAGTTTTGAATCGAAGACAACACCGAGGTCCTTAATCGTGTCAGGTCTCTGGAGGACGACACCTCCTATATTGTAATCGTATCTTATGCAGTCACTCTTTCGCGTATATGACATTACGTTGCATTTTGCAGGATTTAACATGAGCTTATTATTTATACACCAGTTTTGAATTTTGTTTATATCGGTTTGCATTACGATACAGTCATTGTTTTTATTAATCATTGAAATAAGCTTCAAGTCATCAGCGTAGAGTAAATATTGTACATTGATATTCTTACAAATATCATTAATAAAGATTATAAAGCATAAAGGCCCTAAAATGGAACCTTGGGGTACACCAGAAACTTGAGATATCAAGCGAGACTTAACGCCACTAATAAAGACATACTGAGAACGGTTACTTAAGTAGGAGCTAAGGAGAGATAGTAAATTATCAGATAAATTCAACATATTTAACTTTAATAACAAAATGGGATGACTAAGACGATCGAATGCTTTCGTAAAGTCAGTGTAGATCACATCTACCTGTCCACCGCGATCCAATATTTCGCTGATAAATTGAGTTTTAATGGCAAGATTGGTAACAGTAGACCTCCCACGAACAAATCCATGTTGTTCAGGTAAAATTGAATTTTCAATATGCCTTTAGAGAAATTTGGTAACTGTAATTTCGAATACTTTACTAAAATTGCAGATAATAGCAATTGGTCTATAATTTGTAATATCATTTCTGTTGCCCTTTTTGTACACTGGAACAGTTTTTGAAATTTTCCATTTCTCGGGAAAAACAGACGAGTTTGTTATTAGATTAAAAATTATACTAAGGGGCTTAGCAAAAACGAACAATCCATCACATACAAGAAAAGACTACTTAAGTTTTCATAACCGCACCGTTAATGTTGTGACAGGCTTGTGGTTCACCTATAGTGAATTACGAAGTCTGTATGGCGACTCTGTAGTACATCGCAGAGTGTACTTAAGATAAACTCAGTGGAGTTAAAAAAATACTTCCAGGCGGTCACTGCTAACGATAGCCACTAAATTAGAATTAAAGCACTTATCTCCCTTAGACCTCGTACCTCACGGTACCTGAAAGAAAACTGTCGAGAGCCGGTAATAAAAGAAACAGGGATAAATAACAAAATATATATTTACAAAAAAAACCTAACACCTCGTGGGCGCGGTATTGGCTTCCACGGTATACAGGAATTAAATTCTCAGCCAAATAAATCGTATTACAAATATCGGTTGAGTAGTACAAATAATTAAAAAATAAATTTTTAAATAAATTAAAATTTTCCCTTGCATACAGAAAATAAATTTTTACAGAAATTAAAATTTTCTCCCCAACTAAAGTAGTAAATAACAAAGTGCAAATAATATAAGAGCTTAGTTACGACCCTCCCTGTATACAGAAAATAAATTTACCAAAAGTAGAATTAGTTTCAAATAAAAATGGAAACAAATGAAACGGTTCAATAATTCAGAAGACAATTATGCTCTTCCATACAGAAAATAAATTTTATCAAAAGTAGAATAAATAAAAAAAAAATAAATTGAAATAAATAAAATGGGTCAATAATCCAAGAGACAATTATGCCCTTCCCTGTATACAGAAAATAAATTTTTCCAAAAGTAGAATTAAACAAATAAAACGGTTCAATAATTCAAGAGACAATAATTATGTCATTCCCTGTATACAGAAAATAAATTTACCAAAGTAGAATTAATTTTCAAAAAAAAAAAAAATAAATGAAACGGTTCAATAATTCAGGAAGGAAATTATTTTTTTATATACAGAGAGGATGTATACAGAAAATTAATTTTTCACTATATAAAATTAGTTAAATAAAACAGGTGATTTATAAATAAACTACAAAGTAAAAAACCATTGATACGGAAATTTACAACGCTCTCGGCATACAGAAAATAAATTTCTCAACAAATAAATTTAATTAAATGTAGTAGGTGAATTATAAAGAACTAAAAAAACTGATACGGAAAACTACAGCCCTTCCTGTATACGGAAAATATATTTCACAATAATTAAAATTAATGAAATAAAACGGTTGACTATGATTCTGTGTAAAAAAATAATCTTTTCGACTAGTAAATAATTAATGATGCACGACGATCGAATGATACAGAAGTTAAAAAAAATATAATATCGAAATTTACGTCGCTCGGGTATATGGGAAATGCAATCTTACTAGGAATAGAATTAATACGCTAGTGGGTAATCGTTCGGCGATGTCTTTTACAAATCAGCTAGAAAAATCAAGAGACAGTGAGTTTCGAGAAAATTGCCCCGCGTTTCGCAAAAAATGATACTACTCAAGACAGTTAGGAATGATATACGGGACGGTCGGTTGTAAAACTTCCTGAATCAGAGCCTATTAGGGAGGTCCGCAAATATAGCTTGAACAAGGGAGGTTCGACAACGCTAGAGCGCGCTAATTTAAATTTTGTTAATAAAAAAAAAATGCCAAACCGGGAGGCTGTTTGTAAAGCTTCCTGGATCAGTGCTTATTAGGATGATCCTCAAATAGCTCGACCAAGCGAAGTTTGACAACGCTAGATCGTGGTAATTCAATTAAAAAAAATGAATGATTGGTTAGAGGGCGAGACGGATACGGTAACTTTGTATCAAAAGAAAGTTGAATTATATGAAAAGGCCTACCTTTATTATGATTCGGAGAAAACGGACACAGGATATTATGAACGGTTCACTAACTTTTTCACTCGTCTCTAGGACGTCGGAATACCAGCACCCAAAAACAGCACTTACGGCGGTCAGGAATCAAGCGAACGAAATGTGTTTTCTCATTCCTATTTATGCCCTTCCAGCAGAAGTCTTCGATCGCACGATTTTGAAGTGGGAGCAGCCACCACCAGTTTTCGGACTGTTTACTACAGATGGACAAAAAAATACCTTTTTACCGCCTTGACAAAGCCATCTAGATAATTTGCATGAAATTCGGTTTTTTAATACGAACATGATTTACTGTACATAGGTGAATATTTTAAACTACGGGGGCTCTTTCAAATTAATTAAAATATACATTTTATAAATAATTCAAATTAAAATTTAGTGACTTCGTCACAATGTATACTAGTGATTTTGACGCATTTGCCAATTTCATTAGATATTGGAATTGAGAACCTATCTATTTCTTAATGATGAGTTCTATAAGGAGAAAAAATTGTCCAAGAATTACATTCTCCTTAGTTATCAAAATCAAAGGGAGAGTGTTGAAATTAAATTTCTATCTCTGCCGTTCTTCCTTTGGATACAATTCAATTCCTGTTGCGGTATTAGCCAGAGCAGTTGTTTTTCGAAGGAAAACGATCGCTCTCCTATTTTGTGTGACATATGGCTTTATTATTTTTATTTATTGTACGCCTCGGTCACATTTAAGTTGGAATTATTTTTTTTTATAACATTAATAACTTCAGCAACAATCGTAAAATAATTTTATGAACATATTATCATTTTACAGAAATACTAAGTTGTCAAAAACGTCACTAAGAACTAACACATTTTCGTTCGTTTTTTGTTTTCTTGGGATAGGCAGTATTGTTGAAGATTGTATAGTGGTTCCAATTTAATCAGAATTAAAATGTGCAGTGGTCCACTTTGGATAACTTATTTACATTTTAAAGAAAATTAAATTAATTTTTTTAGGACATGCTTCAAACAACGACTACAATTGTAAGAAACCGTTTCGTCTTGAAGCTCTGCCAAATATCGCGAAACACCACCACCATCAAGGAAGACTAAATAAAATGGAATTTTTATAGACCAAGTTGAAAAATATTTTAAAAACCTTAAATAATTACATCAAATTTTGTGATAAATTCGGTTGTGTTTGATCACAGAGATATAAAGATGATGAAAGTGTCACCAGTTAAATTCTAAAAAAGTTTTTGCCTTTTTTTCTCAGTATTGGCAACACTGGATGTACCTTTCAGGGACAACAGTCCAAGCAATGTTGCCAAATTGATCAAAATCGAAAATCTTATATACTCAAAGATATTTCAATGTTACCTTAGGTACTGAATTATCAAAATAATCAGCACCATTTAGTGAACAAGTTTTGTTAAAAAATGGTGCCAGATAGACAGGTGCAGATAATGAATACAACATTCAGAAAACATGTTTTAATACAGCCATGTAGAATAAGTAATTGAATACTGCACAATTTTATTGTTTGGTTAAATTAAGATGTCAACTGGTGACTCGAATAATATATATTTACTGTTAACTTATGAATTGTTCTTGTTTATGTATAATATGGTTTATAATGTGGTTGACACAAAAGTGTGATAAAAATTGTATAAATATTTTAATACAGATTTTTATGGAAATAAATTTGTTCAGTATAATTCATTAGTTTATTTTTAAATATACATAATAACCTAAAAACAATTCAACAGCCAATATCAAATTATTTGACAAACATTCTGTTTGACTAGAATTGTTATGATGGTTTTAAGCCCTCTTGGAATGTTAACGTCTGATTGCTTTGAACATCTTTCTGCATTTCTAATGCTTTAGTCTTGTATTTGTCGGCTAATTGTTCACTTTTTTCGACACCTACAAGTTTATCATATACAGTAATACAGTTTTACTAAATTTAATGATTGTGCACCTTCTCCTTTAGCATACATTTGACTCAAATTTGCACAACTATACATATTACCCAAATTACATCCCTTTAAAGCAAAATCAAAGGCCTTCCTCATGTCTTTAGCAACTTGATAATCATTGGGATTGTAGTCTTTTTCAGTGAGAGTCCCAGGAAGATTGTCTTTTTTCACTCCAACTATATACATCCCTGACAAATAGTAACAAGCATTCCCGTTTTCATATTTACATGCCTTTTCCAGAATCTCCATCCCCTACAATGAATTAATTCAAATAAAAAGAAACATTTCTATTATTATTTCGTATCTTATATAATAAAAACGTTTACAAAATGAAAGGTATCATACTTTCTTAATATCTTGTTTGATTACAGGCTTCTCACTTTTTGTTATTAACAGTAATCCTTGATTTAAGCAGCAATCAGGTTCTCCTAAGTTACATCCTTTTTCGAAATAATCATATGCTACCTTAAAATCTGACTTTTTTGAGCCTTTCCCTAACAAACTGTATGTTCCGTATTTCAAACAACTTTTTCCATATTTATAATCATCGCAATTGGTCTTATATACTTTTCCGGCTTTTTCGAAGTCTTTTTTGATTGATTCTAGGAAATCTGCTAGTAAATGACAAACTAGAAAATAAAAGGAATATGATTAAAATATCACACAAAATGTGGTTTAGAGGTTATGTAAGAATCTTCCTATCCCAACATACCTTCTGGTTTCTTTTCGCTGTAACAACCAAATCGGTATTCTATTCCTAAATTATTTATGTACTCTTTTACTTCACTTTCTGATTTAAAATTATAAGCCATATTATTAAAATCAAATTATCCGAATTTATAAATTAGTCTGACATTTGCCAGTCACAATAAAATTGTATTTTTGATCTACTCATTTTCTTCTTTATAATTATTTACATAATTTAAAGGAACTATTACTATTACGGTAGATGAAATACGTGTTTGAGCGAGGACTACCTCCTTATAGAACTATTGCACATAGCTACAACCTATATATGACAGGGCCAATCTGACCAGTCTGTAGACAAGAAGTTAATAAATAAAAAAAAGAAGAAATATCGCCAAAAAATGCCTGAATACAAAGACCTTACATAACTAGACTAGAAATTTAGATCTATCTAAGCAAATGTTTTGTTGTTTGAAACTTTCCTCTGTGAACAGTAGCGTACAGAGATAAGGATAACGAATTATCCAAAGAAGTGGACTTCATTGGAATTATCTTTTAATTATCCTTCCTCCATGTTATCTTTTTCCTCCATGGGGTAGCGTACCATGACAACCCGTCGAAGTGAAACAATTTATCTTCTGATTTTAATTATAATCACAACCGTCTTAAAACTAAAATGATTATTAGATCCTGTCATATAAAACCTCTTTTATTCAGTAATGTCAATTAATTTTAAATCACATTAAAAGAAACCATTTGTGTATCATGTGATGTACACAAAACACACAGGGGGTTATTTATCTTTTATCTATTTATCAAGAAAACACAAAACAAACTAATGACGTAATAGAACATTTAGCTCCCCCACGTCCCACCCTTCATTTCCCTCTCCACCATGATTTCCCTCTTCCAACATACCAACAACAATAACATAACCAAATATTTACAACAATGACAGAAAACACATTTTTTTCAAATGAAGTAATAAGTTTAGAGAAAAGCATCGATTTAACTTCAACCCCAGTCGAAACTAAACTTGAAGATTTAGATGAAGTGTACGAAATAAATCGGTGTTCAAAATGGATTCAAACCAACAATTTTCAAAGGGTATCCCCATCCATTTGTGCTCCAAAACTCCATATTTTTAACATTTTTGACTTGTAGGTTTGTTTACAGTTCCCAGATCACTTGCTTCCAGATTCAAGTCATGTAGCTTTGAAATTGCAAAAAATTTTGAAACAAACTTTGTATCTTTTAGGTGATACAGCTTATGAAAGGTCAGTAGTATTTGTTAAGGTTTATCTACTCATATGCTGGATTATTGTTATATATTTAATACTTTTTTGGATAGTTCAGAGAAGACACATTAATGCAAAATAATCTGTTTTAGCTGTTGTATAGACTACATTGCTGCTGCCCATATAAATGCTGATGCTATAATTCACTTTGGTCCAGTTTGTTTTTCAAAAACTTCTGCCAACATCCCGCATATAAATATTTATGAAAAAAAGCCCCTAAATATTACAAAGTTGAGAAGTGACTACGATGAAGTCTTTGAAAAATCAATGGCAGTTGTTCTTTTAGTAGATAGTATTTATTTACATTTAATTGGTAATAACATTCTAAAGTTAATTTAATAAGTATTAGTATTTTATTAATAATGTCTCATATTTTAGATAAAATAGTAACTGCATTTGCAAAAATTCCAAAACTACAAAAATACGAAAACGTGACAATTCAAAGGATTGATGAGATAGATGATAATTTAAAAAATAAAGATATTATATTTTTTTTGGGTGAAAAGTATCAAACGTTAGTAAATATTGCTTTAACATTTAAACGTAAGTAGAACATAAATTTATTGGTTTAGAAATTATTTTTTTTCTATTTAATTTTAAGCCAAACAATTGAATTACTATGATGGAACTGTAAAAATATTTGAAGATGCTTCCAAAATAATTAAAAGGAGACATTTTATCATAGAAAAGATAAAAGATAGTGAAACTATTGGTATAATAATTGGAACACTAGGAGTAAAGAACTACTTACAAATTTTAGATAGAATAAAGTCTTTAATCAGCCAAAGTGGCAAAAAATATTATTTAATCAGTGTTGGAAAACCTACAGTGGCGAAGCTAGCTAATTTTCCCGAGGTACTTTTTAATTTGTAATACTTTTGGTGTCTGTATTTGAAACATCAATAGACATGTTTACTTGTTTTCTTTTTTCTTACAGATGGACATTTATGTGGTTGTGACTTGTGCAATGAGCGAAATTTATGAAAGCCGTGATTTCTATAAGCCCATAGCAACACCATTTGACGTAGAAGCCGCCTTAAATCTCGACCCTGATAAGAGCACTAACTTTACATTGGATTATAATGCTTTTCTAAATGATGCTAAAGTCGTAACATGTTCTGAACCGACCGTTAGTCTGTTGACGAACAAGCTCAGGATATCAAAACCTGAGGAACATGTTAAAATTAATAATGACACATCCTTAGCTGTAAAAGATGTTGGTACTGTAGCTTTGAATAACTCTGGAGCTGGTTATTTGCTACAAAGATCTTGGCAAGGATTAGAACAAAATTTGGGACAAACTGAAGCACATTTAGCTAAAGAAGGAAGAGATGGGATTCCCCTGCATTACAAAAATGAAGAAAATAATTCTTAATTTAATGGGAAACTTTTTGTGTACTTTTTTTTTATTTAGATACCAATAAAGTTCAAATAGTAGATAAAAAGCATAAAATCATTTTTGTTTCGTCCTAATTGGTTTTATAATGGTTAACTGATTGTTCTATCTAAAGAGTGATCCACAAAAAAATGTTTTTAAGGACTGTATTTATAAACAAAACTTGGCTGAGTCGTCCTTGAACTTGAACGAAAATCGAAGTTCGGTTATATGAATATCTTATATTCCGTGAATTTAGATATGGGTAGTAACAAATCCGTAAAAATACAGTTACAGATTGCTAATATCCATCTCTAAATTCCGGTGGTACACCGGAACCACCTGGAACTCTAGAGACGTTGTAACCGAACTTCGATTTTAGTTCAAGAACGACTTCGCTGAGTTCTGTTTATAAATACGGACCTAAGGAGAGCCAAGGGTGGCAAAGACAGAGATACGAGTCATGTCTGTGATAACTGATAACTACTTACAGAATTAAATTCGAACTGACAAAAAGATTGGTACTCTCAGTCATATGTGAATTTTTCCAGGGTTTGCTTTAAAACATTTTTTATGGATCACTTCATATTAAATAAGAAAATTTATGGGTGAAAATGAAAGTTTGTAGATACGCCAATGGCCAATGGACACTAGCACCAAAGAATAGAATCAATTGCCTATTCTATGATACTACCAGACTGAGGGGTCTATTCTGTAACAATTCCTTTATATTTAACGGCCTTTAAAAATATTTTCTTCTTTACTTCTGTCATTATTTAAACGGATCTTTAAAATACATTAGAGGACTATCTTAAAGAAATCTGTTTAAATAATGACAGAAGTAAATTAACGAATACGAACATATTTTTAAAGGCTGTTAAATATAAAGGAATTGTTACAGAATAGACCCCTGATACAGTAAACGCCAAATCTAAAGAACCAAGGACGCGCATTTATAATGCTAAGAACACGCCTACCGATGAATAGAATTGGTAGCTTACCTAGAAAGTTGTAAACCAGGGGTGTGTATATTTTAAGACATAAAATAAATGGAAAATAGTGAATTATGCTTGTTCATACATATTGCTTAGTGTTATTATTAGTACATAATTCTATAGTCAATTAAAAAATCATTATTTTTAGGTAAGCCAACTTTAGGTTGGTGGTCTAATATTTTGTATTTTAACTGACATTAATTTTTTAATAAGCAAAATATGAAATAATATGTGTATGAAGTAATATATCCTTCCGATTTTTTGGGTCATTTCATTTTTAAAAAAAAATCAACTTCAAGATATTCTGAGATACGGCCGGTCGCCACCACAAAGCACGTATCTTCTAGAGACCCCACGCCAATGGTAGACTTTTAAACCAAATTAGCACCACCTTGAGTTTGGAGCAGGAACTAAAATGACAATTGACAGATGGCGGTAAATTCAAATTATAATTTTTAGTAGTAGGTAATAGGTAATAAATTTTAAATGAGTTCCACATAAATTATTTTATAAAATAAAGTATGGAACTAGTATCTTCGAAACTTTTATTTCATAAAATAATTTAGGTCGATATGCCAAATTTAAGGAATTAATTTGTTATAATGGGTCTAATTTGGAGAGTTGGTTCTGTATATTATTATTAAATAAAATATAAGATATATCAATAAATAATAAATAGAACATTCTTAAAATATGTTTATTAATAACTTAAATAAATATTATTAGAACAAAATAAATACAAATAATAATACATATTTAACGAATACTTACTTGGAGTAAATACATAGAAAAAGTAAATAGGTATACAATCTCAAATCTTTACAATATCAATATATTGAAATGTGAAGTAGAAACTAGGATATAACATTTTATTAACACTAAAGTTATATTTTATAAATGTATTTTTACCTGAAGGATAAATGTAATATAGGTTAAAAGGTGAATCCTCTCTGTAACGTGTGGAGGGTGGGTTACCCCCACGCACTTGTGTCTCATTAGGCCCATTGTGCATCTCCTAAGATGATAGGCACATCCTAGCTCGTGAGCCAGGAAGGTGAATCCTTTTAACTATTCATTCACTGATAAATATTTTCCTTCCAAATACAAATGGTATACTCTTCTTATGTGAAAAATGATTTCGGATTCTAGTCCAGTGATAAATTGATTACCCGTTTTTTATGATGCATGGTAAATTAATGAAGTTTTTCTCGAAATTTAGCACCAAAATTATTGCAAAACACAGTAGGAAATAGAAAAGCAAAACATCACAATTTTGCAAATAACTAAGACGAAACTATAAACAGAAACTAAAGCCAACAAAAAATCACTAAAATCAGACGGAAAAATGCGGCTAACCAAAAACATAAATAAATACACGTCACATCTTTGGAGTTTTTGGTTGTTTTTCTCCCATAAAGCTTAAAAATGGAGTAAGAAATCATAATTTCACCAGTAGCCCCATCTAGAGTTTGGAGCAAATAGCATAATAAATGTCAGTTGTCGGTTTTGACCTTGGTCATTCACGTGGAACCTCTATGTGCTTTGTGGTCGCCACCCTTAATGAATCACCCTGTACATAATATTAAAATTATATTGAAAAATCTAAAATGTTCGTACAAACAAAAATGAGACACATTCTACTAAAATTTGGTTATAGATCTACATCATCAAATAATTTCTTATAACATAAAATATATTTATATTCCGTTACAAGTGCTATTAATTTAATCAAAATATTGCATTTTGTACGTTACAATCAAATACTTGTAACGCTAAAGTAACTTAGAATACGTTTATTAAAATAGTTAATCCTTCATTTCAATGTAGAAAACTAGAATAATAACTAGAAATACCTACGTAACGTAGTTTTTAGTATTTACCCCATAAATACGTCTTAAAAATAGGGATATCTCTGCATCTACTTACCCCTTACTGTTATTATTTTGGGTTGAACAATTTCACTGCACAACGCTTTTCTCAAATGCATTTCAAACAAATGATATGGATGCGAGTCCGAGCTCTAGTGACCGGTTCGAATAGGAAATTTTTTGCTTTTCTATCACGTACATTTAAAAGTAATTGTAATTAAAAAATGTAATTGTACTTATAAATGTAATTGAAAAAAGTGATTGTAATTGGAAAAGTAATTATAATTGGAAAAGTAATTGTAATTGGAAAAGTAATTGTACTTATGACAAGTAATTGTATTTAGACAATTTAAATAATATAAATTAATATAATTACAAAGTACACTTCCTCTGCAGATTTTGCTGCAATTACAATTCCAAATTACTTTGAGAGAGAAAATAAGTACTTAAATACAATTACAAATTACATGAAGAAGAAAAAAGAAATTGTAATTATTAATTACTTTTTAACTAGGAATTACCCAGCTCTGATATGGGGGTAACCGTAAAGCGGTGTGGCCGTATTCTCGACACAACTCATCAAATGCATATGTTACATGTCGGTCCTTATGGGATTTAATCAGTCTATAGAACTCTCTGGTTTCAAACTTGTTGGATTAAAAAAGGTATGTCGTATTTTGTCAACCATTCGATCATATAATTCTTCAAAGAATTGGAATTAGGTGCTCGATTTGTCTGTACATTAAACAATTACTGAATTAGGTGGAAGATTTAGGTATTAACTTTTCTCTTAACCATTTGCCGTAATTTTTCGAATTCATTTCGGAATGATAATCTCCAGACTTGGTCCCTGATTTGACTATCAACAAACTATTTTTGATAAAACCCATTTCCCCCACCGTGAACTATAATAAGCCTTTGGCCTTTAGAAATAACAGAAAACAAACCTTTTGTTGAATCGTCTGTCCAAAACGTAATATTGTTAAATTTAGTATTTTTTTACATTTATTAGGAAACAAAAATCTTTAGAAACAAGATAAATTTAAAAAATTAAGTATAAAATATTAGTCAAAAATTAAATGCATAGATATGTGTGTAAAATACAAAAAAATATATGTTATGTTGAGAATGGGGTGTTATTACACTGCGACCTAAAAGATCTATTGTGCCCCCTTTTGTCGCCACTGCACTAAGGAAATGTCTCAATGCCTATATAGCGACCCTTCCAATCCTATTTTCTCAAGGAAGTGTACGATTTGAAGTGGCTTCAAGTTAGGTAAATCTCCCTCTTCTATTTGATATCCTCCTAGATATAGAGTGCCCTTGGAATAAATAATATAGAAAACTATGCAAGTTTAATTGCAAATAAACTACAGAATATGTTTACCTGTTGCTTGTACAGTTTGAAGTTTGATATCATCTAAAAGGTCTTTTCCTTTGCATCGAAAGTGTAGCACTGAACTACGTCACTTCTGAAAATATTGTTCCATCCATACAATTTGTATATATAGAACGATATTTTCAGAATTATTGTAGCCCAGTCCCAGTATAAAGAACAATATTGTTCTTTATACTGGGGCACAGTGCTACACTTTCGATGCAAAGGAAAAGACCTAAAGTAACTCCTTCCTTTTTTGTTGCGTCAAAATATTTAAAAACATTGTATGTTAGATATACTGCGGGATATATTACTTCACGACTTTGTCCGTTAATAACAGATCTGCGCTTTTTTTCACCCACAATAGAAGACATTATCAAAAATAAAACCAGTCACGTTAACCAAAACACAGAAACAAGAAACAAACAATGATCTAGTCGTTACGCTACTGACCGTAAGCAAGGACAAGGTTCAAATTGTGAATGGGCGTGGCGATTTTTAAGTAAACTAACTTGAGCATTTGCGCTGGTTCTTTAGATTTGGCGTTTACTGTACTACATTCAAGAATGCAAACTAGTGATGGGGAAGAATCGGATACTTTCAATAATCGAGTACTAATAAGGGATCGAGTACTTCACGGAATCGGGTATTTTATTGAATACCGCGGTTACGAAAAACCAGCTGAGTCTGAATCTGTGCCACAGAAATCTGTGCCGCTACTATGGAAATTCAAGCTAGCGGTCCGAAAAAAAAACAGCGGATATGTTTTTTTTCGGACCTGGGCTAAGCTACAAATTTGCAAATAGCGTAAGAAAAAAGCTACAAACAAGTATTACAAATTAAAAATTTAAAAAAACCGACTTCAAAAACGTGCAGATGCCACATCTTAACCAAATTTATATGGGACCACCCCTGTGGTACCTCCTTACTAACAAAAAAGAATCGTATAAATCGGACAAGGTGGTAAAGCATTATCGCTAAACATACATAAAAAATGAAGAGTTTGAGGATTTTCTCATGGATCCAATTATTACATTTTGACAAAATTTATATGGGACCACCCCTACAGTAGCCCCTTTCTAACAAAAAAAGAATTATTGAAATCGGACACCGTGTTAAAAAATTATCGCTGAACATACATAAAAAATGAAGAGTTTGAGGATTTTCTCATGGACCCAATTATTAGATTTTGACTAAATTTATATGGGACCACCCCTGAAATACCCCCTTTCTAACAAAAAAAGAATCATTGAAATCGGACACCGTGTTAAAGAATAATCACTGAACATACATAAAAAAAAAAATATCGCGACGAATTGATAACCTCCTCCTTTTTTGAAGTCGGTTAAAAACCCACCAGCTCTTGTATGGTGCCGCCACAGAGTGTCGTCCGCTAGCTTGATATAGCCAATTTCGCAGTAATGTTTACCTGCCAGTGTCGTTTCATAGAATAAGTAATTTTAAATTGTTACCGGCGGAACCGGACAATCGCATGTATTTATGGACAATAAATAATTATTAAACATGTATTATAATATTCAAATCATATTTTTACAAAATTTCAACAGCTATTCACAATTTATTAAACTATTAACTCGAAATTGTTATTAACGAGTTATTAACATATATAAAATAATTTTGTACGCCAATGTATCGCGTCCACTTCGGCTAGATCCGCCGCGAACCTGTCAATTTATGTGTATAAAGTGGGAGAACTGGCAAAAGCCTTTCCAACTTTTACCCCTGCTATACATATCAAAACAAAATAAGTCGCAAAATATTTGTATCAAATTCCTTTGTTTACTTGCATAACTTAAATTATTCTGTTCCATGACGCATGAAGCTATCTTTTTTTAGTTCATAAAAATAAAAGACATGTATAATAATGGTACAATGATGGTAACATATGAACCCGATTCGCACATACTAACAGAGATTATGTTTTTGTTCCGGAAACAGTTAATTTAGATAATTGAAAATTCAAATAAATTTTGAAATAAAGATAAATTTGATAAATTATTTTTTTATAAGTATGTTTGTTTAGAATTAGGTATTCTTTTAGTCGTCAGCAAATAAATACAAAACACTGACATCCCTTCTAACGTATCATTAGAAAAGATAAGATGATGGAAGCTTAGTCATTTCCATAAATAGCATATTTTTCCTTTTTTATGAAACCAGTGGGAGTGAGACAAAACGAAAACATTGCACAAGTGCCCAAGAAGGAAATTTGTGAAGTTGGGTGTGACCAAATAATAATAATTTTAGTAAAAGATGTGAGGAACAAATGCTTCAATAATTTCGTTTAGATAAACTTTGATTCTTAAATTCGTAAATTAATTTAAGTGAAAGTAGTTCCTGTTGATTATGAAGAATTGAGTTAAATTAGGTAAATGTCTTAAATGAGGTTAGCTTTTAAGTTTATGTTTTCATGCACTATGTAAATTTAATGTTTGCAGCTATGCCATCCCTTAGAAAAAGAGTTTCTAGCTACTTTAGGCAACTAAGTTTCCACAACGAACCTAGGGATAGGAGACACAATATAAATGAAAATTCATTTGTAACTAAATATTTGCAAGGGTAAGCTAATTAGTACCAATATCTAAATTAAATAGTAGGCCTAATAGGGCAATATTGTAACGAAATTAAGGAACTGTATTATTATACTCTCAATATCTAAATGTTATAATTATGCCCAGAGAATCTTAAAATAATTTTTTTTGTCATTTACAAAAAATGTATTATTTTGTTTTTTTTTTATCAATTTAAACCTTTAAGGCACATAACTTTAAAAGAGGGTCCGCCAATAATATATGGAAAGAATCCCACAGATCTTCCAAATTATGAATTAGGGTCCTACACCAATGGCTCTAATACCATCATTGGTTGTTATTCTGGTCCTAATGGAGGTCTCACTACTGTTAAAAGAACAGAAAAACATTTATCAGTGTTAGATGATGACATTGATTTTATAGATACCCCCGATGAAGATGTTGGTAAGTAGTATTAATTTTCTTATATAATGTGTAAAAAAATTTGTGGCAGGCCAACAATTTGCACTAGGAATTAAAAATTACAAGGATAAACCAGTTTCATATATTATATCACTCAACAAAGTTTTAGACACTAGAATTTGTTTTGTTTAGCATCATTAGATTAAAATATACAGTGAGCATTATAAATAAAAAAATATATCAGTGGAAATGCCAGACATTAAAGGCCCAATATTTTTTTAATTGATTGGTATTTAGGCTGCATGAAGTCAATGGTTGTTGACTAGTATGTTCATATCTGTTGCTGAACAATTTAGTTAAAACTGTCTAGTTTAAATTTTTTAAATTCATGATTACCACACTAAAGACTTACAAGACTAACCTCTGGGCACCAGTTTTTGCAATACAGACTGTATAATCTGTTTAAAAAAAAATCTGATGTTATCCCCAGATTGGTGTATTAAATTTGTTTTTAATATTATAGTTTATCCATATTTTCTGTTAAAAAGGGGGTAAATGTCTAATTTGAGCTCTTTTCGATTAGGGAAAAACTAAGCATATGTACTTGTAGGTATTGAGATTGTAAACAAAAAACCTAAGTTCCATATCTTGTGCAAATTAATAAAAAGAACACAAATAATATTTTTAATCAAAATAGGCCATTTTTTTTTTTTTTTCAATAATTGTATCAATTTTGTGGGAAAGGGAGTGAATAGGGGTGTGCTGGGTTGGAAAAACAAAGTCAATAGTTTTAATATTATAAAATATTTGTTAGGGCATGGAAAATTATTAGAAATTAATTGCTGTACTTTTGATACCTAATAATTGAATGGTAAAATTTTTGCAAGACTCGGCAACAGTGTAAGATGTAAAAGTAGCATCTCTGATCTTTAATTTGAGACAATTTGTGAAATATTTTAATTTAGAAAAATGAATTGTTTCATTATTAATAATTTGCACAAGATATGGAACTAAGATTTTTTGTTTACAATAGTGATGCCTACAAGAACGTATGCTTAGTTTTTTCATAAGCGAAAAGAGCTAAAACTAGACAATGATATAAATATGTGCGATCATTGAAGTTTGAAGTTGTGTTAAGCCTTAAAACAGTCAACTCACTGATATTTAATAGTGGAAGATTCTTTTTGTGTGTGCAAGTGCAATAACAACTGATAATTTACCATTTATTGACCATTCACTAGACAGTTTTTACTACTTAAGTCAGACAAAATATCTTAACCATTCTGACTGACCCTGACCGATCAGCTGATTAGTCGTGACTGATCATGTTGGTTGGTTTTATTTTTCACTAGATGTTTTCAACAGGTGTGACTGCTCACTCAACACACCCTAATGTACTGAATGATTGGCATAAAAAAATAAATTTTGGAATCACCTGCTGCTAAATGTCCTTTTTTACTACTTTGATAGAGTGATCTTTATCCTTTAAAACTTTTGACCTTAATTATCTTAAAATATAAGTATTTAGAGAATTTGTTTCCTAATTAATTTTTATTTATGTCAAATTGTATTTGTAACCTCCTGCTACGTATGTTTTTAACCATGATGTGCACTGTACTGTATACCCTTTTCTTGTAATATAATTTTTCACTTGAAGATCCCAATACTGTAAGTAAAACTTGAGTTAGTGTCTAAACATTTGATGAGTGTCTCTAGTATAAGAAATAAATAGGTTTTAACTTTGAAGATCATGAAAAACAAGGTTTTGGATTTATTTCAGTACCACTCACATTACCAAAAAAATCCCCAATCAGAGTACACCCAGGACAACCCATAGACAATACAACTATGGTAATTAAAGTCGCGGGAAATGAATATTGCGTTACTAACAAACCAAAGAGACACAGTAAGAGTCACAGTCTAGGTAGCATAGCTGATTTCAATATAGAAATTGAAAAAACTAAAATAGATAAGTCTGTTTGCTCAAACAATAATAATTGCGATACTATCCAATGCAAACACAGTTTAACTTGTAACGTTAACGAGATTAAAAAATGTGATGAAGGTAGAGATAAGGTTAACACTAATACTGAAACTTCTAGAATTGATAAAGATAGGAAAGGAAGCGATGTAAATAAACCTCTAATTAAGAAAACTGCAAGAAATACGACTGGAAGTAAAAGAGAAAATGCGAGACACCATCAAAAAGATGTAACTGACAGACAGAATGAGAATTACAGCCTGGCTAAATCAAAGAGCGAGGGTAATCCCTTTCACAATAAGAGAAAAGGGAAGATAATCAAAATTGAAAGACCAACTGCTGCTCGGGGTAAAGATTTAACGCATGGTGTGGCATTTATGTTTTATCATTTCGCTATGTTTTATGCATTTTTTACATTTTTGCCTGCTATTCAATTCATTTAGGAAAAATATTTAACATCGAGGTATTTTGAAATACATTTTAGATAAAATATTTGTGTAGTTCTTTCCAATTACATTCCGCACATACGTAGTCGTTGAGTATTATCACATTAGTCATAACATTTTTTATCATGATACAAATTTTTGAGAGGAATTGTTCATATCAGATTTTTTCTATTTCAAAAGATAAGATTTTTCTTATAAATTACCTGTTTTCAAGCTTATATTATTTAGCCATTTGTCGAGGTCAACTGTATTAAAGATGAAGCTGACAGAGGGTCCTTATGAAGAATATAAATGTTAAAAATAGATGGAAAATGGAAAAGTTATTTTAGGGGTTCATTGAATGAAGAGAATTTATGAGAGACTGGCTGGGGAGGGGGTGTTCCTGTAGGTAATACCTGGTATATGTTTGAATCATAATTTACATCACCAATATTAGTCTAGAGTGTCGCTTGTTTTAACGTCAAATGCGAATCGGAAAAATTGATACTTTCTCGGTCCGATTTGGCATTTTTTTTTTTAATCTAGAAAAAATTTTGATTCTATAAAAAGCTACTTCCAAAGTCCAGCGAGTTTCCAAATTGGCGTTTTCAAAATCTGATCTACCATCTGACCTTATAAATTATTTGTCATCGCAAGCAACATTTTATCGATTTTTTTGCTATTTAACATTTAATAAAATTTTTATAATTAATGAAAAATATTCTCCTTGCATGCCACTAAACTTATTAATTTCTTGTCTCAAGAAAATCTATTGCATGTGCATGGCTAGGGTTCATTAGCAAAAATAAGCAAGCTCGATATTTTTTAAATTAACGATGGTTTTGGAGTCTTCTGCACATAGTTATTGTTAACCAATCTATTATTAGATACCTTTATTTAAATTTTTTTTCCAAATTAACATTTAATTTTTACAAATTAAGGCTAGAACAAACTGTGATTGATATCTATTCTATATTTCCACATATTCTTGTTTATTTTATTTCTACTTATGCATATTTTAAGAGATTGGTGATGGAAAAAATATATTTGGATTCTTATTGAGCTTCTAAAAAATAAATAGGTATCATTATAACTGATTTTAATTGAATATACAAACTCTGGGTGTGTGGCTAAAGATGGGGTACAAAGCATATTTTTGATTGTGATAACAAGATTACTAACAATGCCTGTGACTAATATACTCGATAAATCATTCGATTTTCATTTTCATATATTGTACCATTTGATAATCTGGCCTTGCTTATTTTTTATCTTGTTAGAAAAAAACATGGCATTCTTGAAATTATGTATGTATTTTTTTGGTAGATGATTGTTTTTAAATAGAAATGTTTTCAGTTTTTATTGCTTCTATTAAAACTAAAAAAGTGTTCTATAAGTAATATCGATAATTTAAGTACATAAAACATACTTGGCAAAAGCAGCAGACCAAGGTTTTTACCAGATAGGTATCACTAAGAAAAGTGTCATTACTATTGGAAATTTACATTATGAATTGATCAAAAACTTTGGAGAATGGTATTTGGGATTTTCTGAAAAAATACTTAATAAACTAGCTATCCTCATTTTTAAAAATCCAGCAAAGTTAAATATTTACAAAATAATCATGATATGAAATACATTTTTCAATCTCTCAAAACCGTTTATTGCCAAAATTATAAAAGATAAAACTAAATTCTATTTAGAAACAAACATGATAATATGCTTAACTGTTAACTATATATATTTGCAAATTTAAACGTTTTTTAGATGACGATACAGCTGATAGAACAAACATTCCTTCATTAGGCAACAATGGCGACAACGTGCTGCCTACAGAATGGAATGCAAAGTCTGAATACGTTTTTGGTCTGTCAGATTCTCTCTATGATAGAAATCAAGTTACCAAAAATAAAAACGGCGACCCTATAGCGGATTGTTTTGGTATAATTGCCAGAAAAGACTCTGCTATCTTAGCAGTAGCAGACGGAGTCAACTGGGGTAAGATTTTTTATATTAACTTTTAAATGAAGTGTCAAACTTTATTGTTTTCTGCTAGAGGGCGCTAAAATCAAAATTAACGCAATTAATAGTCATATTGCTCAATTATCATTAATATTACCTTTCAAATGATTTGTTACTCTATCATACTTGCTATTTAAAAAAAAATAGGGGGTTACTGCCGGACTCTAGCGATTTGGATTTCTGGGTATGAATTTTATATTACAATTCGTCCCCTTTCCAATAATAGTTGTTGTGTTTTTTGAGGTTATTAAATTTACTTAAAATCAAAAGTCATTTCGACTTGCTGCTTTTGAAATGAAAGCACTATATGTTTTCTGTTTGATTCTTTTTAGGAGAAAAGGCTAGCATAGCAGCTAAATCGGCAGTGCACGGCAGCTTGCATTATTTAAACAAAACTATTTTTAACGATTTGAAACCGTTCGAAAACTTGACGATAAAGACGGACGAAAGTTCAATATCTAATACCAGTTTATTGGATGAAAAAACGAATCTTGTCAGTAATACCAGAGAAGTATTCGTTTGTCTGTTACGAGCCTTCAATTGCGCCCACGATCTCATCTTAGAGAATAAGGTAAAAACGTTATTTTAGTTAGCGGGTCTTTAATGTGAAAAATACTATTAGATTTAAATTAAATTTGAAATAAATCTTAAAGCCAAGGATATCTCAATAACTGCTTAGATATTGTAGGAAATTTTCTTCCTTTTCACTTCCTGTATTAAGGTTTTTTATATTTTTCTTAGATTTTGCTTGGTAAACCAATTTTTGAAGTGTCATTTTTCTGTTTACCTTTGGTTATAATTCAATGCATGTTGGGATATTAGCTAAAAGAGAAGTTGTTTTCCAGAGAGAAACTGTCGTTTGTTTCATGTGCCACTGGTTTGAGATTTATTTCTATTTTATTTTACTATTAGATTTGTTTATATCATAATATTTCTCTTGTAAGGGTATGTTGACAACTCTAACCGTAGCTGTGATTCTGCCTTTGAGGCAGAAACTCGAACGGAGGATCAGATATTCAAACGGCGAGGAGAGAAATGAGACTGAGACTCAATATGTCTGTTGCGTTTGCAACGTAGGCGATACGTTAGCGTACGTTTATTCTGGAAAATACGGCGTCAGGGAACTCACAAAAGGTCAGTATTTTGTATTCAAAACATTTTAAGGATTCTTGTAGGCAGTGTAAGTAAACTGCATAAAGTTTTTTAAAAATATATTGTCATGAAAGTACGGATAACCTTGAAAAATTTTGAGGTCTTATATTTAACAAATTATCAAAAGTGGCCTCTTACTTAAAGGCACAATCTATTTAAATTGGCGTTTAACATGAAGTACAATTATCTAACAGAAAAGTATGTACTACACAAAAATAATAACAAGTCAGCGTTTTGTGAATAGTAATTTTAGAACCACTAGAAGTTAATAATAATTATTTACAAAAAAAATTGAGTTCATGTCACAGGAAACAATTTCGGTTTTAAATTTAACCTCGAGTGATATTTGCGTTTAATTAAATAACTGTTGCCCGAACTTATTTTTACTGTAACATTACTGTTTTATTACATTTTTGGCCGTATATAATTATTGTATTTATCGGAATCATCATAAAAAACTTACTCTAAAACCAAGGGTCTAATTACTATGTGGCAATTGTGTACGATTGACACGGGCCGTCGCCCGAAGGGCTGCTGTTCAGAAACATTTTTTGATTGTCGCATGGAATAGTTCCAATAGAGAGGCTAACAAATTGGACTTATCGATTAACTTGCAAGTCGAATGAAAAAATAAAATTTTTCTAAATTGGTAAAATTTAATTCATAAGCATTTTAATATAAATGTTGAAGCATCCAACATAATAAAACATAGAACAACAATATTTAATTTTAACAATTTGTATTTGGACACAAATATTCTCAGTCAAACTATGGCAACCTTGAACTTTCGAGGCTTCCTAACTTGCTAATGAGCTTCAGAATAGATCTCTCTCTCTCAGCGGCAAAGTACTTGCCTTGCCGCTGTTAACACAATGTGATTTTTCACCGAGGCGTCAGGCCGCCATATTACGTTTATCAAAATAATTTTCTGAAATCGCTGAAATGTTGGCAAGAACGTGAATAATTTTCTGCAGTAGTGTAGTACTATTATGTAAATAGTGTATATTTCGATTAAATGGTGTTAATTTTAGCCGGGTTTTTATTTCTACAACAATGTAGGACAAACCAGCACCTTTAATGTAAGCAGTCCACTATAATCTTGGGAATAAGTTAAAGTTAAATGTACAGGGAAACACCAAAATCCCTACATTCAACAATAAATTAAATGAGTTCATATTGTGTTAAATGCAATTTTTTGCTCATCACTAAGTATATTATTTACATCATTCATTAACATACTATTGTTTGTTCTTTAAAAATAATTTTGATTTAATTTTTCCTATAATTATTTTAACGGGCTGTCAAAATGCTGCCCGTGGGTAATGACAGGTTATGATATGGAAATCCCGTGGGCCTGTTGTCTTTGACAGAGTCACTAAATACACACGATATAAGGATGTTGCGCATCTTGTGCGGTTCTTATTTTGACGTGCAAATAAAAATCACTCTGTTAGTGACGTCATAACATCCGGCCCATAGCATGTTGCGCATCGTAGGCGGTCCTTATTTTGACGGGCAAATGAAAATCACTATATCACTCTGTGAATGACGTCATGCGCGTGGCAGACGAAAACTAAACACGGGAGCATCCGGCACTGCTAAATACATATATAGTAGTTATATAGATTGTTCAAACCGGGTCGTTTTGCGAGCGGCCATTGGTACAATAAAGACCTTACCTTAGGTATTTTTGAAGTGGCCAGGTTTCGGCACCTGCCTGGAACTGCCTAAACATCTCGCCTCTGGCTTCTATTAATCAAAACACACCTTTCTTCCAATGATGTTTAATATTACGTGACTTACAACTTTTTACATTGATTTTACTTAAAGTATCGTAAAAATTTTTATGTTACATGAACTGAGACCTTTTTTTCAACAACGAACTGAGAGGCAGTGACGCGGCTTTGTTAAATTTTTGCTGTTTATGCCCGTAAAAGAATTATGTCATTGCTTTACTTTTTCATTGGCTCTTTGCTAGTATTGAATATTATTGGCTCTGTATTAACCATTATTTTCGCTAGTAGAGGACAGCTGGTCGTTGACCAAAGTATAGAGATGGGATTTGATTTTTATTGTTAAAGGTGGGTGTTTTTGAATGTGAATTTTATGAATCTATTGAACGTGTGTAATAAATTTTATATAAATGATTGATGGTGATTTAATTATTTAAATTTTTGCGTGTTTGAATGTAATTCGGACAGCCATATTGCCTTATAAGTGCTCATTAATCAGAATTGATTTAGCAAAAATGTGTTTTAAAACTAATTTCTAGCCTTTGAATATAGTAAAAAAAATAATTGCCTATATTTTTACTTCAAGGCATAAGCTTATGTTTATTTTGAAAAACATGGATGATCATCTATATGACTATCTATTTCATTGGCCCTGTCAAATCACCAGGCCCACAAAGTTGCCATGTCATAAATCTATTACCCACGAGCAGCCATTTTGTTTGGAATGCCTAATAATCTGTGTAATCATGCTTAAGGTACCTATAATGAAACAGATTTCCGGAAATCTTCCTTGTTGTCATAGTACCTATTGAATTAACTTTACTTGATTAAAGAATGATGATGTGAAATGTTCTTTAAAATTTTAATTATTTGAAAGATATAACGTAGGCTTACTATCATAAACCTTGGTAAGTCTATTTTTTTACTTTTAATTTTTTATTATTTATAATTCCTTTATCATTGACACAGGGTCCTGTAAATCTTCGCAATTCTAGCACGATTCTAAGCTTCATTTAGGGCATTGTACTATTTCAAAACGCTTGTCTTAGAGTAAGACAAGATAAATGTGTTTTATGTCTCCTGTAAAATCTTTATAGTCTGACTGAGTATGGGAGGTTTTGATAGTAAGCAGACGATAAAGTCTTTAATCACTTGTAACACCCTGTATAAGTTACGCATTATTCTGTAAAGGTTCTCACGACGTCAACAGTAACAGGGATATGAGAGACGCCCTAGGAGCTCTGGGTCCAGTAGACGGAATAAACCCGGAGCTCAGTAACCTTACATTATCCATAACGACTTTGCAAAAAGGCGATATCGTCATGGTAGCCAGCGATGGTCTTACAGACAATTTCGACCCGAACGTTTGTAAATTCACGGTAAACACCAAGAACGATCAACAATCCACAGTCAGGAAACCGAGTATGCGACAGAGAGCAATGCAATCGCAAGTCCCTTTGGAAATTAAGATGCCCGTTACGAAACCTGTAAAGAATATCGAAACTCCTGCTCAGAAACCGCCTATTAAGCCGCCTAGAAAGTCCAAAACTAGAGATTCTTCGGGTATGTCTAATTTTTTAACTAGTATTATTGCCGCATTTGTTTACCTACATCGGACACATCTGTCCTACTACATTTACGTATATTGAATCACGTGATCAAAGATTTACAACATCTCAGATGCATCCGATGTGGATATTCAAACGCGGCAATTATAGAGTTATTTTAAAGGAATGGAACATACAGTAATTGTACATTTTTGGGCACAAGTTTGTTTCATCATTCGATTGAAGGAATATTAGTTTGCACAATACTAGTGGATATGGACAATCCGCTAGAGGTTGTATAGTATATTTTTTCTACGACCTAATAAAGATTGCAAAATTTTAATAATTAATTTATAGAGCTTATTAAGATAAAATAACAACACCCAAAGATTTGAATCTATGAAATTTACTAATTTATAAAATAAAAAATGCCGAGTCAAGTTGGATAACTAAGGCCACCATTTTAAAAGCAGTAAAAATATGGAATAGCTGGGGCTTTAACAAAATATTTTTACAACTGTTTTGTATAATTTTTGGTAATACAATCTTCCATATTTTGTTCACATTATTTTTGACTTGCCCTTTATGTATAAGCGTTTAAAATGTAAGAATTTATGTTTAACAGGTAGAAATTCGGCTGAAAGAAGTAGCATAAGAAGTAGCGCGACAGAAAAGTCTTCCTCGCCCTCAGTAGAAAATATCTCCATACAGGGTAAAAACAATAACACGTCAGTAGTTGATCAACATTCCAGTATCGGTAGTTCTATGAAATCACAAACATCAGAACCAAGTTCTAGTGAAATTAATAGTAGTCCGATAAATAATAGTTCTAATGAAGTAGTAAATAGTAGTAGTTCCAATGTTCCAGTAGGCGAGTACGAAAATCCGCTTGTAGCGGCATTTATGAGGGAGAATTCTTTAGAAGAATCTTCCAAATCTGATAAAGGTAAATATTGGTTCCATTTATTTACTAATTTATTTAAATAGCACAGATCTCTGAACTGAGGGTCATGTCAAATTTTTGACAGCAGTTATGATCGCCGCCATGTTAGATCAAATTTAGATTGATATGTATAATTGTCAAGTTGATATTAATAATAGCAAATACAATGTATTTGTAAAGTAAAATTAGTGAGTTACTGTTTGTAAATTGTAATTCAAGGCAAAAGTCTACAAGAGAACAAATTATTACTCACTATTTGTTTTTATGTGTCATCGGCTTCAACTACTATGGTTAATCGTCTTGTGTTCGGTGTAGGCTTTGTTACTGTTTCCCAGCGCTACTTTAGGAACAGCACTGTTAATTAGAACCCTACAGTGAATGGTCGAGTGGGGAATCCTACCAAGGCATCAGAATTAATTTTAAATAATTAAATTAAATAGAAAATCCCGGCCAACGGTGCGATTCGAACCCGGGACCCTTATAGTATGGTGCTATTTGTAATAAAACTGCTCTAGAAATGAATTCTGTAGGGGACTAAGTGTCACAAGCTGAATTGTTAGTGAATTGAAAACTAATATTTTGGAGATTCTAAAACCGGAGGTAATCCAAAATTAGTCCTTGCAGAAGGGCACTATTTTCAAAAAACGAGATGTTGGTACCATTGCATAGAGCGTAATGTGTACTACAATATGACCGCAAAATCCAAAAAGTCACTTTACAAATTAGGTAAATGTATTATTTTAAACATTTATAAAACCATTGGGGCTTACGGCCCAAAAAAAAATAAAATGTGATTTCCTCGGTTTTATCTTAAAAAAAATTGCGAAAAATATTGTACTTTTTATGTTAACACTACGAAATTAGCTAAACAAGATTTTAAAACAAAAAAAGTTACTCTTATAAAAGTTTCTAAAATGTGTTTAGATCATAACAAAACATCAACCATATTTTTGTCTTATAAAAATCAACTTATGTTAATTAATATAAAACAAAACAATTAAAACGGCTGCCGCGAGATTTCTACACTCTGCTAACGGTGTTATCGCTTAATATATTCCATCTTCGTTGCACCTATGATTGTAAACATATCTCTATCGCACTATGAAACTAGCTCGGCTCATAATATTATCACCACAATGGGCAAACAATCTTAATTTTTTTTTGTTGATAAACTATTGTAGTTCTGATAATGTTTAATACAGATGTCCCAAATTGTACGGATCCAAATGAAAGTTTATAGATTTCATAATTGTAAGTAAAAAAGTTCATATTAACACGTAACATGCAAACATTGATCAAAAGTCAAGAGATGTAAAAGTTAGATAACTAATTAAAAAACCAAGAAAATATCAAATTTCATAAGTGGTGAGCAGCTGAAAATGTATCGTTCCTATCAGTTTTAAACCACCGGTAACTTTGCTACTGATGGAAATCGGACCATTGTTAATATGAATCATTTTGCTTAAAATTATCTCTGTTTTCTATAATTTGGGACACCTTGTATAATGTAATACCTATTAAATATTGAAAAAAATTATTGTCATGAGTAAAATTAGAATGGAAAAATATCTAACACTGGAAGAGCCCTCCCTCCCCTCAACTTTAATAATTATATTTCTTTAAGTAAAGAGCATGGATATTCATATTTAAAAAAAAAACTACAACTTACAATCTTGTGTTATAATCGTATTATATTTTCCCCCTATCTGCCGATGCTTCGCTGAACTCTTCAAAATCTATCGATTTTTGGTCGGCCTTTTATTTATTTTTGGAATCTTCACTTGTATTTTGATTTAAGGAATATTCTGATATATTTTCAAAAATTGTATTTCAAATCAAATATAAAGCACAACATATTGACATTGTTTTTAATGGTTACACAGAAACCAAATCAATTAATAGGATTATTACTAATTGAGAGATCCCGTTTCCACAACGATGGAATTTATTTATTCACTCAATATTTAATAATAAACAGTTAACCAATATTTTATCAAATTAATTTCCTGATTACAGATTCCGTAATTATAAGATACAATTTGTAACGAGTGGCGGATTTAATAACATTTCAGACTTTAAATTCAATACTGATATTTGAAAAGAACATCGATAACTATTAGAACCAAACCATAAAGAAGCTGACACTAGAATTCTACTTCATGTACTCTGTGCTAAAACGGAAGGTTTTTCTACATGCGATATTGACTCTAACAATACCGATGTGCCTATTATTTTGGTGTATTTTAAAAACCTTCTTCCTAGTGAAATTTAGTTAAAAGACTGAATCATAAATTTTACTGGTTACGTGGCATTTCATGAAATAGCCTTTAACGACAGTCTAACGAACAACCTACCTTCTTCCCATACTTTAACAGGATGCGATACAAAGAGTCAATTTACTGGAATGGTAAAAAAGATCCAATTCCGAAGATCTGTTTAATACTATTAAAAAATTTGTAAAAAAATTATATTCGTTGTTATTCTTTCTCTTAATGTATTGAGGTTTAATGGCCCCTTCAAAAAAAAATCATTTTGAGTGTGGCAAATGGCTTACGGTCGATGCCAAAAAAAAATGGCCTCTTCAATAGAGCTATCTAGGCTACCCCCAACTAGTGTCGGATTGGGTCGTCAGCCGTCGGTCTACCGGTCATAAGACCGGCCTTCATTTAAGCAGTGGGCCTTTGAGAAGATTAAAGAAAATTCCGTAATACGTGGCAGCCAGGGAAAAAGCATCAGTGTACAAAGAAGACCTTTTTTACAATGAACCTGACTATGAAAACAAATGTATAGGTGGACCCTTCTCCCTCCTGAACAGGTAAGGCCCATAGGTCCTAATCCGACACTGCCTTCAACAGACGATTCCTTAGGCTTTTTACCAAACCAAGATTTGGTTAAATTCTTAATCAAAGCTAGGTTTTGTTCTTTAAAGAGATATAATTATTAAAGTTGAGGAAGGGCTCTTTTAGTGTCAGATATTTTTCCCTTTAAATTTTACTCCTGTCACATTTATATTTTTTTCAATATTTAGTAGGTATTATTACTAATAATAAATTTATTCGAGACCCCTATTTCAGAGGTCTTGTATACAGGGTATCCCCAATTATATAAAACGGAGACAAGTTAAACGTCTCATAATTTTAAACAAAAATGTTTATATTAACAATGGTCCAATTTCCATAATTATCAAAGTTACTGGTGGTTCAAAATTGATAGAAATGATACATTTTCAGTTGCACGCCACTTGTGATATTTGATATTTTCTTAATTTTTTAATTAGTTATCCAACTTTTACATCTCTTGACTTTTGATCGAATTTTGATCAATGTTTACATGTTAATATGAACTTTTTGGCTTAAAATTATGAAATCTATGAACTGTTTCAATTGGATCTGTACAATTTGGGACATCTGTATAAAACATTAGGTATCAGAAGTACAATAGTTTATTTACAAAAATAATTAAGATTGTTTCCCGTTGTGGTGATAATATTATGAGCCGGGCTAGTTTCGTAGTACGATAGAGATAGATATATGTTTACAATCATAGGTGCAACGAAGATGGAATATACAAAGCGATAACACCGTTAGCAGAGTTAGAAATCTCGCGGCAGCCGTTTTAATTGTTTTGTTTTATAATAATTAACATAAGTTGATTATTATAAAACATAAAAATATGGTTGATGTTTTGTTATGATCTAAACACATTTTAGAAACTTTTATAAGGAGTAACCACTTTTTTGTTTTAAGGGGGCGTCCATTAATTACGTGAGGTATTTTTGAGGATTTTTTGACCCCCTTTCCCCCCTGGTGAGATTTCGTAAGATTTTCCTCAACTCCCTCCCGCCTCCCCTAATTTCTCGTGAGATTTTTCAAAATTTGTGTTTTGGGTGTAAATGCGTTGGATTATTAAAAAAACAAACACAATATGTTTTATTACTTTTATTTAAGACTAAAAATTTCTAGAAACATTCTTTACTTTAATTTAATTTTCACGCAATTTTACACCGTTTTCTACTAGAAAAAAAATACGTCAGATTTACAAAGACCCCCCTCTCCCCCAAGTGAGATTTGGAAAGATTTAGCTTGATTCCCTCCCCCCCTTGAACACATCACGTAATTAATGGACGCCCCCCAAAATCTTGTTTAGCTAATTTCGTAGTGTTAACATAAAAAGTACAATATTTTTCGCAATTTTTTCTTAAGATAAAACCGAGGAAATCGCATTTTATTTTTTTTTTTTTGGACCATAAGCCCCAATGGTTTTTTAAATGTTTAAAATAATACATCTACCTAACTTGTACAGTGACTTTTTGAATTTTGCGGTCATATTGTAGTACACGTTACGCTCTATGCAATGGTATCAATATCTCGTTTTTTGAAAATAGTGCTCTTCTGCAAGGTCTAATTTTGGATTAACTCCAAAATATTAGTTTTCAATTTACTAACAATTCAGCTTGTGACACTTAGTCCCCCACAGAAAGCATAATTCCGATTGTCTGGCATTAAACTATTAGATTCGCAGACTATTTTTTTTTTTCTATTAATTTTAATCTGAATAATTTATAGAGTACATTTTTGAAAATTCTAGTCCCGTTTTCATAAACTTTCAGGTAGCAAAACGCCTCCCGTGGTGGAAAACAGAGCCAGCAGTCTGAGACGCCAGGCAGCTAATCAGATCAAACAAGACCCGGTGGCGGCGGAATCTAGTCAAACTCAGAGGCCGGTTACTCCGAAAGCTGTTGCCAGCAAGACGTTGCAAACCGTTCCGGAAAAAAGCAGTAATTCCCCTAGAAAAATAGACGTAGGTTATAAGTTTTTACGATCGAAAACTACGGTAGACATGAGATCGTCGAATGTGAAACATATCGTGAGGAATGAGGATGGCGTACCGTACATAACTCCCATCCAGAGGTACGAGTTGCAGTTGTTGCTGATGGAGGACATCTTAAAGAATGGAATTTCAGGTAAGCATCGACAATTTTTTGGCCTACATTTAATAATACCATTTCCGGTTCTGATGAAGAATCCAAATGGCCGAACTTTGAAGTTTTATTGCTAGATTATTATAATAACTTACTCTTTATAGTATTTTAATCCAACTTTTATCATCATTTTGACATATTAGTTTGCAACTTTGCCATATTGGATGCTATTTAATAGGGACGTCTCAATTTATTTATAAATATTTTTCTAGCCTATTTTTTTTAATAATTCTACATTTAAATAATATCTCAATCTTGATATCCACTTATTTTATCTTGTCACTAACTGAAACTCGTGGAAAAACGACAAAATCAATTTTTCTCATCTAGAAGAACTAACTTTAAAGTAAATTTTGGCTACTTGATTATATGATCTGTTCTCTGGTTCTACGACTAACTATAGTCTAGAGAAGAAAGGAGTACAGTAATTTAATTTGCAGAACGTAGTACAGGTTTAAGAGGTAGACATTTTATTTACATCTCATCCTTAAATTCTTATTTGTAGTGAAAATGAAAATTTTAATACACCTGATGCGCCTAATAAAAGTTTTCGTTTAGATTTAATCATTTTTCCAAGGTTTTTACTGTAATAAACCTTTTATTTTGTATTATAATTCTAGAATTAAGTAAGAATAGCGAGTGCATTAGAAAATATTGCAAGTACAAGTACGCGTAAACGACCTAGTGGACATAAAGAATTATCTTTAGAAGAAAAAAATATTGTACTTAATGTATTTAATAATCTTCGAAATGACTTTGTTTCACTTTCTGTGGATGAAACAATAGCCACTAAGTGTGAGACCTATACTGGAGTATCTAAGCGGACAGTGTATAACATTATTAAAGAAGGTACAGTTATTGGAGAAGTATCACATCCGAAAAAGCCCCCAGGAAGAAAACACCTTTATTGAAACTTGGGTAAAGAATGTAATAAGACAAATGGTACATTCTTTTTTTCTTTCGAAATAAATTCATACTCTTAAAAAAATACTCAGAAATAGAAAATAGCCCCACTCTTAATATCATATTTTCATCTGCAAAAAATATTACATGAATTAAATTTTCGTTACAAAAAACGTAACAGAGAAAGACGAAATTATTGCGTGGAGACATGATTATTTAAGAAAAATAGCGGACTCAGGGAATCAGCATAAACAGGTATTTTATTTAGATGCTGGACATATAGTAACAAAATTTGGCAAGATACCTCCATCAAAAGTAAAAAACAAGCCTTTATGGAAGGGGTTCCTTATGGATTAAAAAATCCAATAGGAAAAGAAAAACAGGAAAAACCAATGGATGTTTGCCATATGGTTTATTAATGTTCGAGTGAAAGAAAACAAAAGACTACTGAAGACTGAAGAAATGGATGGTCTTATGTTTGAAAATAGGTTTAAGAACATTATAAACTTACAACAAGATGGAAAAAAGAAGATATTTTAAAATGGCTTCATTCTAAAAATATTATGAGTCTTCCTAAATCCTTGTAGGCAGAATTACTTGTAATAGCAAGGCTACATAAAAACAAATTCAAAAAATATATAATGGACTAGAAGGCCCGAGACAAGTATTAAAAGTAATTTTAAAAAACCGAGCAGATGCCATCATTACATCTTAACCAAATTTATATGGGACCACCTCTGAAGTACCCTGAATCATTGAAATTGGACACCGTATTAAAGAATTATCGCTGAACATACATAAAAAAAATAAGACGAATTGAGAACCTTTTTTGAAGTCGGTTAAAAAAGAAATTCTTAAAAGCAGTACAAACCAAAATTGTATTAGGATCTAAAAAAATCATAATAACATCTGTATATCGTTCGCCGAATGGCTCAATACCAATTTTCATTGATAATTTAAATTTGTTTCTAACAAACAATAGACACAATTGTGATATTAATATACTTACAGAGACATTAATATTGATTTGTTGAAAGATAATGACGAGCTTACAGAGAACTACAAAAATATTCTAGAATACCGCAATTATGTATCGTATATATATGATATTACGCGGCCTGATAGTTCAACATGTTTAGACCATTTCTATGTAAAGGCAGATTCACTGGCGCAGGAACGTTTTAAATCTTTTATTTTTCAAGATAAAATCACTGATCATCGACCGATAGCACTTCTACTCGAATTAGACGAAGAAAAAAATTACACGGACAAAGATGCTCATATAAAATATATTAACTATAATAAATTAAAAAAAAGATCTCCAACAGGAGTCATGGAATAGTCTTTATTTAAAAAATAATTCTAATGAAATTTCAGATAGTTTTATCAATACTCTAAAATTATACATTAACCAGAACACAAACGAGGTAAAAGTAAAATAAAAAAATAATAGTAAAAATTGGATTACACCGGGCCTTTTAAAATCTATTAAAGAGAAAAATAAAATGTACAAATATTTATCAAAAAAATCCAACAAATATTCAATTACAACAAAATTATAATCAGTATAAAAATAAACTAAGCAGACTAATTGAAAAGGCCAAAAAATTATACATACAAAAGGAAATTGAAAAAAATTCTAACAAGTCAAAATCTTTATGGAACTGTGTTAATCATATTTGTAACAAAATTGAACCTAAAAAAATAATAAAAAGTATTAATATACAAAGTCAAATAATAAATGACAAAAAAAATATTGCTGGGGAGTTTAATAAGTTTTATTGTGAAGTTGGGGAGAACAGCGAAACAAATTGTAGAGCCTAGCAATTTCCAGGAAAAAACTATTGCAATAAATAATAGCTTATTTTTGTATCCGACTAACGAAGAAGTTCTTAGTTTAATAAAATCTTTTAAATCAAAAAAAAATCACCATTTCAGGATAATATTAACTCGGACCTTTTGAAAAACGTATGTAATCAAATCGTGTCACCTTTAGTACACCTCATAAATAGTACGTTTTGCACGGGATGTTTTCCTAAAATATTCAAAACCGGGTTAAACCGTTATTCAAACGAGGAGACGTGGAAAAGATTAAAAATTATCGACCGATCTCTATCTAATGTAGCCAAAATCCTTGAGAAAGCTATCAAAACGCGTATAATAAACTTTCTACATAAATTTAATGTTCTTTAACCAGTATGGATTTAGGGAGGGAGATCGACACAACATGCCATACATGCATTAACTTCAGAAATATATTCCTTTTTACATAAATCTAAACCACATCACTTTGTACTTTTGTCGATTTTTTCAAAGCCTTTGTCACGATATGTCACAGGAAATTACTAGAAAAACTGAATCAAATTGGAATCCGTGGCAATGCAATAACATTATTTGAGAGTTACCTTTCAGGTAGGGACCAGGTGGTAAATATTAAGGGCACAATAAGTTCTCCAAAAATAATTATATACAGAGTTCCTCAGGGAACGGTGCTAGGACCAATACTTTTTACCATTTACATAATCTTATGATACAACCGTCAGTGGGTAAAATATTGAGTTTTGCTGTTGATACTATGATATTGTACCAAGACCATAACTGGAATGACTTAAAAAAATGCTAAAAAAGATTTTCAAAATTTTATTAATTGGTTTAATGGGCCATGTTCACATGTGAGATATGCTGTTTTATAAATTATATTGTAATAGTTAGTCGCTATACAAGTTATTCTAAATAGTCAGTTCGTTAAAAAAGCCAAAAGTTTTTAAATTAAGCCCAATTGAAATTTAAAATTATACGTCATCGGGAATAGACCAATCATCTTGTGTCGAAGTTTTTTTTGTTATACGAAACCAAGCCAACGAACAAACCGACACACAGAATGTCGAAGTGAACGCACATCTAAGTGACATTAAAATTGACACCACCTAACACCTAACCTTAGTTTTTTGTTTTGGTTTAATGAATCAGCTGGATTTATAAAAGTTGAATCAAGTGTGTTACCCATTGTAAACGAAAATATGATTACCGATATGATTACAGGAGTGCGTTTAGAAACCACGCACGGCGCGTCTGGGCCCTATTCTAATGTATGCGGTCAGACGCGCCGTGCGAGGTTTCTAAACGCACTCCTGCATTTTTTAACAATACTCAGTTTACAAAAGTCAGAAAGGTAAGACTTTGTTTTAATAGTAGGTAGTTACAGTTTATATGGAACAATACACCTTATAGTAAAACATATTTATCTCAGGTTTTATTTTTAGATCTGCCAAGCAAGAATATGGGGATAATTTCTTTTTCCATAAGAGAGGAGACAAATTACACCTAAACATAAAGTACGGCAAAAACCTTCTGATGTGGTTGTTGTAATTAACAAAAATGAAATTTTTAGTGCACAATGCATGTCAAGGTTTGTAATATTTATTATGCTTTTTTGTTTTTATATTACATATAATAAACAGTGTATAAGGCCCTTTATTCCTATAAATATTTTTTTTCTAATTTTGACATATAGACATTTTTTGTAATTGCAGCAAGTGTTAAAATAATCTAGAAATAGATTTTGTTAGTGAACCTAGTAATAATTATGATACCAAAGAATGCTGCAGAGCACCTATGAAATTTTGAGTTAAAAAATATGCCATATTTTTAGGCTATTTTTATACCCTTTTCAAAAATTTTATGCTCCTCGTTTTTTGCAAAACTTAAAATGCTCTATAGCTTCGAAGTCAGCAAAGCACCTCTGTTTTATAAAGTTTTTTCTGTAAAAACAGCAACACCATATATTTATGCACATGCAATATTATATTTTTAAAAAATACATGGTGCTTCTTGCTAACCTTCGAAAGAAGCCAGCAGAGCAATTCGGTTTTTTAAAGCTTTTTTCTAAAAACCACACCCCATTTTTAGAATATTTTTAGACTCTTGAAATATTGTAAAACTTTACTAAAAAAATTGCTATTTTTAAATAATACAGGGTGCTTTGTTGGAACAAAGTCAGCAGGACACTTCAGTTTTTAATTTGTTTTTTTTTATATATAAAAACAACTACTTATGACACATGTTTAGGCTGTTTTAAAATCCTAAAAATGTGGTAAGTACATTTGTTTTCAGAAAAAAACTTTGAAGTCAGCAAGGAATTGCGAATTTTTTTTTAAAATGCAAAATTTCGAATATTTTATAATATTGTAGGAGCCAAAAAACGTGGTGTGGTTTAAAAAAAAACTGGGGTGCTCTGCTGGATTCGTTTGAAGCTAACAAAGCATCCCGTAATTTTTTATTTTATAATACTCAATAGCCTAAAATGAGATATAGCTGTTTAAACAAAAAATTGTATTTTTAAAAATAGCAGTTTTTTTCGAAAAGCTCTATAATATTTCAAAAATGTGAAAATGTGGTGAGATTGTTTTTTTTTTAAGTTTTGAAAATCCGAGGTTCTTTACTGGATGTTCAGAGCTAGTAAAGCTCTGCTCGTCTTGTTACAAAAAATAAGGCATTTTGTAGCTGGTTATATAGTGATTTTGTAATTGCATATCTAACCCTTTTATTTTTTTCAGTTGGTTGTAAATATGTGGCTTCATAGAAGAAGTGAGGAACCATCTGTAACATCTACTCAGTGTTATTGGAAAGGCTCTAATTTATCAAAATGCGTAAATATTGATGTACACTTGGCTAGATTGTTAAAGAAACCTCTTCATCCACTACAGGAAAATAAATCAGTACTTTTATATTCTTAAGATTTGTATGTATATTTTTTATTTGTAAATAAATTGTTTTTTACTTCATTTTTTATTAAAAGGTTAATAAATAAAATTTTCACAGATTTTTATATTTTTGTTTGTAAACAATAATTAAAGAGTTTTTATTAAAAATCACCAATGTTAATAATAATAACTTAAGTCAATATTATTCTTTCTCCTTTTTTAAAGCTACTATCAATAAAGGTATTACTTTAGCTTGACCTATGATCAATTTTTAACTTTGTGATATATTTGGTTCGACAGAAAAAAAAATTATAACCCTTTGACATTAATTGTTTTTACTTAGATTTTCATAAAAAATAAACGGAACTGCAAACATGTTTTACTATCGTAATAACGATTAGCAACATGAAATGTTTTTTTTTTTTCACATTTATCACTGTTGTCATTTTCATAAAGGATTGATAAGAAGGCACACTTTCTGGTTTTTTGAAAAAGGTGGCAAGAATTGTGATATTTTTAAATTTATCACCAGTGATACCACATGTAGTTACCCGATTTATTGGAATATATAGACTTTGCTACCACATTCAACTGAACTTGGTTGTTTTTAATATTTATCACTGTGACATAGGCGTTTTTGTCAAAATGTTTCACTTTAAACTGCTGTAAATAGGTGCCTTTGTTTTGGTAGTTTTAGTCTTAAAAAAATCTATGCATATACAGGTACTCATTCCTCTTTGATTTGCTCGAAAAGTTAAAATTTTATAAAAAATTACATTGGCTGTTTAAAAACTCATTATAATCCCTGAAATGTGATAATTAGGTAAATTAAATTAAAAAACAAACAAAAAAAGTTTATTAAATTAATATTTACTCTTACAAAATAGGTTCTTGTAAGTTAACAAGCAATTATGCACATATTACTAAGTAAATGTACTTGCTTAAAATTCACACACGAATGTGGTTTTAACATGTTAAATTAACTAACCCTTCTTATAACTCTTTCCACATGTATTCTTAGAGATGCTATTCTTTTACTTAATTGTACATCTTCTGGAGAACTTTTTTCATTATGTGATACACTAGGTGTGGCTTTACTAAAGGGCATCCCATGTTTTCAAGTAGCTGAATATTCTGAAACCCCTATCTGCCATTATATGGGATCCAGGAACCAGTTTGTTTAAATACCCACATTTTTCTATTATTTCTTTATCACTAGTTCTTCCACAAAATGATGAATAAATTCGGTATCTTCAAAACTTTCAGGAGATTTTGCATTTTCTTCCAGAAGGGTTTTTAGGTTATACACCTAAGAATTTATAGTAGCCTCATTTTCAATTTCCTGAAGGGGACAATTAGCAGAAATTGCTGCTACATCTTGATAATCCGGTGTATTTTTATTAAAAAGTTCACGAGAAACATCCCTAGTAGAAGGTTGATTTTCTTCTTTCCAAATTTCTAGGAACACTAATAAATATTTTTGAAGATGAATGTGAATCATTATCACATTCTGGAACAAAACACTTTTTCGTAGTCATAATATTTATAAAAAGTTCAAAATTAAACACTCAAATTCCAAATAAATTCTTGATCGAGACACTATGATGACAGATGCCATACACACTGCTGCCATTTTGTCATTTTCTGAATTATTAAGTGACTGTTAACACAATGAAACTTTAAATATGGTAAAAGTTTAAACAGAAATAATACTTTCAAAAAACATTTGATATATATTTAAAAGATATTTATTTAACGATGTTTTAGAAGTCTAAAAGTAAGAAGGAGTACACAAACGAACGTACATCACTTCTCGTAAACCTTCTAGCCGGCAACGTTGTACGCTAGCTCCTATTGGTCTATTCCCGGTGACGTCATAAATTTTAAAAAAATTCATAACTCCGGCAAATGAATAGATAAAAAAAAATTAAAAAAAAATGTAGTTTTATTTTCAACTCTACTATTCATAAAAAAAATTTCAAAATTTTTGAACATGCCCCATTATAACAAACTAACTTTAAACTACGAAAAAACCAAGTACTTATCATTCGCCTCTTATTCAAATGGACTTCCAAGTATGGGACCTCTAACAGTATCTGATAAAATTAAGATTCCAGAAGATTCTTCTATTAAATATTTAGGTATTGTCATCGATCAACATCGATTTATATCTAGATTTAAATACCTAAGACAATATTTAAACGTTACTCAATTAAAAACCATCTATTACGGATTAGTGCAATCGCAACTATCATATGGTACAAAAATGGATACTAAAACTTATGTATAATAAAGAACGTTCATACTAGAGTGATCGTCTGTTTCTAGATGCAGGAGTTCTAGATATAAGGCAAATATATTGTTTAAAACTCTTTTACAAATATTCACAAGGGTAACATAAAACTAATACAAATAGAACATACCTACAACACAAGACTAGTCACTTTCTCTATCCCACGCTGCAGTAAAACCATTGGACAAAGACATTGTAGCTTTATAGGTCCAAAATTATACAGTGAGCATCATAAGTCTTACCCCTCCTAACTAACTCGTTACTGGAGTCTTGTTAGGAAAATCGCCGAGACAGGTCGATTTTTGTTTTCTACAATGTACATTTTTGTATGATTAGTTTACCCTTAATTTCATCCCTTACTGGAGGGGAACAACCCTTTCGAAAAATTTAAATGGCATGGGGTGGTAAGTGATAGCTCATTTGAAAGGGGGTTTTATTCTCTATTCAACTTTGCAAAAAAAATTTAAATTTGCTTCATTACGTGTTGATTTATTAATGTTTAAAAATAACAAAACCTCACAAAATAGGAAAGCAACTAAACTAATAGTGACCTTCTAATGGCAAAAAGTCTTACTTCACGTCTGAACCAAAACCGAAATCATGCAGGGCCGAATTTTAATTCTAAGGATGAGTGCGCTACGTTAATTTCCGTTATTCTGAAACAACAATTAGTCGAGAATTAATGAAGCAAATTTCAAAATTTTTTACATGGTTGAATAGAGAATACAACCCTCTTTCAAATGAGCTATCACTCACCACCCCATGTCATTTAAATTTTTCGAAAGGGTTGCTCCCCTCCAGTAAGGGATGAAATTAAGGGTAAACTATTCATACAAAAATGTACACTGTAGAAATCAAAAATCGACGTGTCTCGGCGATTTTCCTAACAAGACTCCAGTAACGAGTAAGACTTATGGTGCTCACGGTATATTTTAATTCCTGAAAATATAAAAATAATTAAAGAACACAATTTATTTAAATCTATGTTAAAAAAATGGTTATTAAACACACCCAGAAAATTGTTTTATACTTTATTAAATTAATTGTGTAAATTTTACAATAGATATAAATAACTATACTTGCCCAAAATCCAACCGAATATGACTAATACCCTATTGTGACCTTTTCGAATTATACTGGACATTGACAAAAATCCCGGTTTTGACTTTTTTTTAGCCTATAATACCTACCTAATATGTAACAATTTATTTAATTTAACATTGTTTAAAAAAAACTTAAAATTTGTCAACACAAAAAATTATAAATTATTATTATGAATTATCACGTACAAGCGGTACCCAATGTAAGTATTGCTTCTGTGAATTTGTATGTTTATTTATTTCTTGTCATTTTTATGAATGTATTTTTTAAATGCATATTTCAGTAAATAAACATTATTATTATTATTATTAATGCACCATTGCTGCTCAGACTCGTTCTAACAATCAGAATCGTTTCATAGTTGCCAGGATTATTACTATTTGTTTTTAATCTAGGAAAAAGTAAATTTGAGTCATCAAAAATGCTGTCAAATATACATTTTTAGGACAAGGAAAATTTTTAGAAACTAGTAAAAATATTATTCAATTATTTTGATGTATTTTTTTTATGAAACAATTTTTTTTGCCCTCAAAATTAAAAGAAAAACCAAACGGCAAAACAACTGGAAATCTCTAAACGTCAGTACAGAGTAGTGCAGATATACACATTAATACCTGGCTAAACTACAATATTACCCCGATGTTTATTGCCATATTGTCTATGAATAATTAATTTTATTGGAAATTGTTTCCCAATAATAAATTGTGATAAATCATAAAATTAAATACGATAGAAATCACTTGAAACATAACCTTTAAACTAACATAAAAAAACAATTCGTGACATTGAAAAGTGTCACCCTAAACCAGTAATACGTAATATAACTAACATGTGAAATACAAAAGTACCAACAAAATATACGTGTAAATCTTTTTAGGAAAAGATTCTCCTTGTACGTCGGCGAAAAGACTCTGCGAGAATCTCATCAGCTACACATTGAGCATTACTTCAGCGAAGCGCCATACATTAGAAGACCCGGATCTCTACTTCGATAACAAAAACGGAATACTAGTTGAGGTCACCAACCAAGAGAAGAAAATCAGAAGGAAAAAGGGATTGGAACGGGTGCAAAATCTGCCCGGTAAATTGGATCACGTGACCATTGTGGCATATAACGTTGGTAATTTTGCTCTTTAGTAGTAAAGCTGGTTCAAAAGGATTTTATTTTTAAATCCTATTTATTCTTCTTAAATTATTTGTTAAATTCAAGTAAAAAGTACCTTAGAACGGTTGGAAATTAAAAATAAAATAACAGTGAGATTGGTATATACCTATTATTTTTTTAAAGAAAATTTTAATAAACATACTCATATTACTCATTTAAAACATTTTACTCTACAAAATTTATACATTTATACCGTAATGCTGCCAATCTTAACATACTTTCTTATTTAATGCCTTAGTAAGAATATAGAAAAGAAAACAATTTTAAAAAATTGACATTTGAAGTGATGTCAAAAGTTAATTTACGTCAAAATATTAAGAAAGGCTTTGACCAAAAAATTTAAACCTTTGGTGTGTTGTCTGTTAGCATATCTAGCCTAACGGGCATTTCCATCTATCAATTTCTTCACGATTATATCGCCTAGGGATACAAAGTAAAATTTCCAAGTATTCTTCACTGGGTAATCCCAAAATATAAGCTAAATTATCTACGCTGGCTAAATACCCAAAGAGATGGAAGCCACAATATTAAAATAAGGCTTTGACAGTTGACTAGAATATTAACTATGAAGACTAGAGGTAAGGAGGCGAATCGGCATGCTCAAAATACGGTCCCAAAAATCACATGTCAATTGAGCTTTTATAATTAACCGCATGGGCGCTGGTACGGTTTACGTAGTTCAAAATACATGGCTTATGGGAATTATACATAATTTTGTCAAAATAATAAAAATAAACTTGTTTATAGCTAAATAAAGCACAGAACATACTGTTGTATTTATTCCTATTTAAGTAAAATGAAAATTATTGATGATAAGTGTTGAAATTTGATGGGTAGGGCTAATTATTTTTAAATTAAAGCTAAATAGGGCTGAGCGCATACTAAGACACGGTTTAAATGAAAATATTTAGTTAGGGATTTTAGAAAATTTTATGAACATAATAAAAATCAAATTGTTTATTGCTAACTAAAGCACAGAAAATACTGTTGATTTTACTTATTGTAAATAAGTCTTTGTTTTAATTGCTAACTAAAGTACAGAAAATACTTTTGGTATTAATTATAAATGAGCCTTTATGTTAAACATTATTAAATAAAATTAGGTATGACCAAATTTGAAAAGATTTGTTAAATGGTAAAATTTGGTAAGTACAGTTTTGTGGTAATTTTGTATTCGACAACTACAATTTCATCATCCTGGTGAATAGTTTCTTCAGCAACAAATTCAGTTCGGTTTTTGTCTTTTCCTAATACTGGTCAAGTATGAAGGGAGATTCGGGAATATACATGGTATTACTTCCATCTTTAATCTCGGCCTTTCCCTTTTTATTTTGTTAACAGTACCATTAGTTAAAATAGACTCATCAAATTTTAAAATATCTTCTAAAAAGTGTAGCTCGCAAACAGAATCATAACTAGACAGTACTTTATCAGCTCTGGGAATTACATGCTGCCATTGTTCTAAACGTTTAGGATTCTATAAAAAATATTTGCAATTACCTAATTGGAGTTCAATAAAGAAAAATAACAGTAGTAACTCTTCATCTAACATCAAAAAACATAAAAAAAGCAAATGTAAGTTAAATTTAATGTGTAATTATTGTTGTTTGTAAGTCAGGATTTATGACTTTATTATTTTTTATTATAGACTTTTGTAATTAAATAAACTACACGTCGTAAGATACGGGTTGTGACTATTTTCCAATAAATATATATTATTTAGAAATAAAAACATTATTACTTACTTACACTAGGAGCTTTAAAAAGACTTGTATTTTTATCTCCTTGTGTTTTCTTTAATTTTATATCGGATTTATATCCCGTTTTTCAACCCGGAACGAACCAAATCCTGCTTTGCCGTTTTTTGTTACTCATTGTTACTTGTAGTATTTCAGCTTATTTTTATTCTTTTCACTAAATTTTACAAAAATCACTTTAATTCCCATTGACTTGCATAGAAAATAGACGTCGTTATTTTGCCACCCGCCAACTACAGTAGTTTTTTGGAACTCCATAAAAATAGGGACGGAAATTTGAAATTTGACCAGGGCCGATTCGCCTCCTGATCTCTAGTCTTCATAATATTAACATTTAATTATTTCATCTTCTCCATTAGATTCATTCAAAGTACGGTTGCCACCTGTCCTTTTTTCAAACAAATTGTCCTTGGTAATTTTTAAAGCCTATAATGTCCTTTTTTTATGACACATGTCGTTTTTTACTACACATGCCCTTCTAAAGGACCTGGTTTTAGTAAAAGTATAAGCCGAGGACAAAAATATTTTAACCGGATCCCTTCACTGAACTATTTATTAAACTGGGAGAACAAAACTGATCAACAAAATCAAGCTACATAGCCAGGTGATATTTGACACTCTGGCGCCCACACGTGCGTATCTAAATGCACTAAAAAGAAACATCATAATTAAATTTAACACTTATTACATTCAACTACGACACGTTTTAATTTAAAAAATCATTTAAAGATGATTTTTGATTAATACGTTGGTGAAATAAATGTTCCAATAATTTAACAAAAAATAATATAACTTATCGTAGTACGCCCGTGGGAAACGTGACGTAGAATGCTCGAAATTGACAGTCTGTCGTCCAAATTGTCATGTGCACCGACCGTTTTTTTCACCCATGTCGGCTTAGAAATTAGGAGTAGGGTTTATGTCAATTGGCTATCCAGTTTAATATCAAGGTCGGTGGATCTCTGTCGTCACCGTTATCCCGCTTTTCCCTTTCGTAAATCTGGCAACTCTACCTTTTTTCACTTTTCAAAAAGGTGGCAACCCTAATTCAAAGACGTATAATATGTAGTGGCGTTTAATTTAAATCCTAAATAAATTTTGACATATGTTGACATTTGACACATAAAATGTAACTCTTTGTTCCGTCGGTACAGTGAGAGCCAAAAACTTTGCAATGCATGAAAAATTTTTATTTCAGCTCAAACTGTAATTATTTGCCAGAAAATTAATTAAATAAGAAATTTTGCTATTTCTTTTCAAAGAATCAAAAGTGCTTTTCAAATTAACTTTGAAAAATGTATGTTATAAATACCCAATAAAAAATTTAGAATTATTGAAAGTGCAATATTGGCTTTGATCAAATAACCGTGTACGTGCTTATTATTAAGAGTGATAAAAAATGTTTTTAAAGTAGGCCATGACTGACAAAGGCAGATATGAGTCATGACATGACGCTCCGACATGCGTAATTTTTTCCATTACCTATTTTAAAAACATTTTTCGTGGATCACTCCATATCTTGTAAAAATATTTTTATATCAATGAAATATTTTTTATAATAAAACTACTTGTAAGAGTGCATCTGTTCGTTGAATTTTATGTTTTTAAAACATTATTTTTTTGTATATTTAAGTAATAAAATCGGAGGATTTGTTCTTCGTTTTAAAACAGAAAACCCCAAATACTTGTTATTGCGTTTTTTTATTTGTTACTACTTTTTGTATATTTCCGTTGTAATAAAAAAAATGTTCGAAATAAAAACGATTATACATCAGGATGTGTTTTAATAGAAATTTATTGTTATTAAAATACAACAGATATTAAAATTTTCCTACAATATATTACAAAAAAAGAAATACGGTAGAAATGAAATTAACATTTACAACCGAGTCGTATGTATGAGAAAAAAAAGTCCTCTACAATGCTGTATATGCCTTAATATACATCAAAATTACTTTTTTATTTAAGTGTCATTTTACTACAAATCAAAAGTGGTAGATAACAGTCAGAAAATAACCATAAGTTTATTACAGAACCAACCTATATTATGCAATTCTGTTTTTTTTTTATTCGGGGGGGGGGGCTATGCAAATATGACATAATTCACTATTTATGAAATGAATTAATTAGGCATTCCAACGACACCTGTCAAACACTACCTGCCACTGGGAAGAGCTCGTATATCTAAGGGGGTTGCGACATAGCCTTCCATCTTGGAAGCTATTTTTATTCGATAGTTTGTTTTTCGATGTTATGTGTCATTTTTATCATATAAAGCAACGTTGTCAAATTATCTTACATGCAATTATCAGAACTAGATAATTTATATTCAATCTATTATTAACATAAATCTCAATTTAAACTTCGTTCAGTTCACGTTACGCTCTCTGTGAGTTCGTGCTGCACACAATTTATAAAGTTGTTGGCTCTTCGTTCGTCTCTGCGATTCTGGTTGGTGCGCATATTTAAACCAGTCAAATGACATTTGATTTGACAAGACATAACCTCAAAATTAATTATTAAAAAGGACAAAAAATTCAAGTTCAAATGAGACCAAAACATAAAATAAAATATCAAAGCCATACATCACAAATAATACAAGCGATCATTTTCCTCCCGAAAATAACTACTCCTTTGGCTAATACCGCAACAGGAAATGAATTATATCAAAATAAAAACAGAAAATTATTTTCAACATTCTAACTTTGATTTTCCTTACTAAAGAAAATGTCGTCCTTATTAGGACTCATTAGCAAGATGGCGTTATTTTACGACTTCTTATTTTCACACGATCCATGTGTATGAGCAAATTTAACACGCTTACAGATTCCATTAGAGATTTAAATTGAGAATTTTGTTTAATAAGGACGAAACTGGTTCAAGATTGACTAACGTCTAACATTGATTTTATTACTATTAGAGTGCTGTTTTTATTTTGATATAATTCAATTCCTGTTGAGGTATTAGCTAAAAGAGTAATTGTTTTCTGGGTAGAAAAAGTGGACTCGTAATATTTATGACAGATTGCAAGTTCGATATAATTCGTGACTTTTTAAAAAATATTTGAATTAATTCATGAATTGAATCAACTCGTTAATATTTATGTCAACCCTGCTTATTGATCTTTTAAATGTGACATTCCTGTTAAATGATTAATTTCTGCCCAATTTCGGATATTAGTATGAATATATGAATTTATTTGGAAAGTTCTTAAAGTGGTATTGAGGTCCTATTAGAAGAGAAAGTGTAAGTTATTGAATCCAATTTCAGACGTAGATGGAATCTGCAGGACTGTGTTTTGTGTCAAGAATGGAAACACATAATTACATAGAATATGTATTTAGATATCGTTATATTTAACTTATTTAAAAAGTATAGGTTATTAGAAAAGTATCCTCTTCAACAATGAAATTCTTAGAGTATTTATCAAATAATTCCCATTCTCCAATTCTAGCTAAAAAAAATTATTTATTGGAAAGTAAGCTTAATTTTTATTCACACTATCCATTGGTCTAAGTTAATATCGAAGGTAAAAGTAAGAAATTTGAATGAAATACTAAATACCAGCCAACATAGACTACTCCTACAGTACAAGAAATCATCGGTGGCTATATCTATGAATGCGGGTAGCCCTCCTGAACTCTTAGGTCTGCAATGTATAGACTATAGATAGTCATTTTAAAGATGTGTAACTTATACACATGACTGTGCTGATAGGTATGCAATATTATTGGGAGTTATATAAATTAACATCCTATAAATATTTGTCACAGGAAATAACTAAAAAGAAGTACTACAAAAGATGTTTATGTAATTGCTAATGCAAATTGAAACTTCAGTTGTAGATATATGCGAGGGATGTTAACGAATATATATTAAAATTTAAACATGTATGGGATATTTTAGAACTATTTTAAAAATATATCAAATCTCTATGAAAAAAGGTACAAAAAAGACTGGTAATGTTCCATGTTTAGTGAAGTTATTAATGTTACTTTTAGCCAACTGATGACATCAATTTAGTCACGTGGGATTCGGGTATAATTGAAGACCTTGTACATAGCCTTTCATAGAAAATCCTTTTGGCATTTTAATGATAAAATCAAATATCAAAGGAGAAACACAAACAAGCGATGTGGCAACATGCGCTAGTTCAGTGATAATGTAATTATGGTTCCATGACAATTAAAGTGACAGTAGATTTTTTGAGTGCGTTTTGTTCGGTTTGTTTACCTAAATTATATCGTTCTTTCACTTAATATAAATATATTCCTAAAGTAAGCAGATAGCATGCATTAAATATATAATCCCTTAGTTACCAATTACATACCTTTAAACTATTTTTTATGACTTGTTAACAATATTTAGAAATAAACTAAACACATTAAAAACGTATATGTCAAAATTATTGATGTTTTTGTTAAAAGTTTGGTTAGAATTAAATGTCAGTGGATCCAAAATGACATCACACTGAACTAGCGCATTTACGAAGAACTTTGACAGTTTTACTATACAGGGTGAGCGATGTTTGACTTTCGTAGTCACCCCGGATTTAAAAATAAAGCAAATCCCATATAGTGTGCATAATTGCCAAAGAAGTGTGTTATGCTATCTCGTAAGAACCATGGTACTTAAATTTAACGTCGATTGCTGACAACATGTTCTGATAATGTGAGACGTCAACGTTAACATGACAGCTGCTCATCTACTATATTTCAAATAACGGGGGTGCTGGGTGCGTTAGCGCCCGACGCAAGTAAGCAACTTTTAATGTTAACCTTATCGTAAAATTTTGTAGTTTTTTTGTGTCTGTTAGTAACTTTTCGTCTCCTGTCAGTAATATTTCTCATTTTGTACGCGTCATTTCTGACAAAGTCAACAAAAGAATTTCGTTTTTGTTAGCACTTACGACTTTTCATAAACTTTGTTTTATTTTGCTTTTTGAAATTATTTTTATTAAACTGAAATAGTTTTGTATGTGGTTGTACTATAGTAATAAAAAGAAAGTAGTTATGTTTTCTTGTCATTTCTACCACGTGCAAAAACTAAAAATATTCTCATGAAACTAACGACCAAAATGCAATTTAAATAACGTTAACACTAATAGGGCCTAAAGTTAGGTCGATTTTGCGAAAACGCTATTGTTTGTTACTTGTCAAATTAAGTGCCTACAGTGTAACGGCGCGATTATTGCATAAATAAAACTTATTATTATTTTCTGACGTTCTTTTTATTTTTTATAAGCGTTTCAACATAAACAAACATTCAATAAAAATCAGTAATTAGAAAATTTTTCATCCCATGATTAAAACAATTTTCCGACTCTTTTCAAACCATACAACTCGAATTCAATTTGAACGAACTGACTTGAACATTAGACAATAATTAACTAAATCGTTAAATTAACTATCATTAAATAAAATATATAATACAGCTTCATTTCCATATAAAAAAAACTCAATTCAGCCTTATTAAAGTCATAATTTTTAAACATTCACCGACGTACCTTCGCCCAAAGAAGAGCGAAGGAAATACTTGTCCCGCAAATATTCAACGATTTTCAATGAGTATTCCCGTGCGTTTTTTTTTTACTTTAAAGTTAACAAATCGAAATAAAAACCATTTCCTGAAGAATCGTCACAATAGAAGGACTGTGCAAGATTGTGAACAATAAAAAAAAAACGTTGAGCCCAGAGTAGGGATTTAACTAGACCAATCGGCGGCAGGCGTTACGGCTTGTAGATACGGCGGACCGTTGGCAGGCGAGTCAGGAAATCGTTGCATGTAGCGCTCCAGACGTAAGTACTTGACTGTCACCAGGTGGCCGGCATACCTATTGTAAAAAAAATGTTTTAAGAAACAAGACAACGGTTTTAAGACACTAATCCATGTGTACTTTATTCCATCAATTTGTTCACCGTTTCGCTGGCGCCACTTTGAATGTATTGTGTTGGAGTAGTTTTACTTAATCTTCGAAAGAAATAACAGTTAATAGTTTTGGGATTATTTCACTAAAGCATAGCGATATTCAACTTCTGTTTAAATTATTATTATTAGTTTGGAAACAAGCAAACACTTTTATGGAGAATAACATTTTCTCTAAAACGTAAAAATAAAAAAGTTTTTTAATCTTTTTTAGTCTATTCGGGGATACACCCTGTATATAGCAACTTTTTATCATACTTTGACCCAAAGGAATCAGACCGTAAATTTATGTGCAATATTAATGAATCGACCTATATTTTTTATTACATGAAAGAGTGCACATACAATACGTAATTTGTGGTCCAGTGGCATAAAACTTTTATAAAAAAAGGTCATAAGTATTCAATAACATTTTACTTCTATTATTTTCAAGATTTTATTTATTTAAATGTTGAACTGCTCCAAACCTACCCCAACAAAAAATGAAAACAAGTTAAAATTATGATATGTATTTTTCGGTGGTGTTATAACTTTATAAATTTCATATACCCTATCTGTCAAATATCTAGAAATGCATTTAGGGTATGGTCCAATATTAACCGACTACTAACCGTAACTAATCAGGATTTTTTGACAGCGGTGCCTCAAAAAAAAATATAAATTATTAGGCATTCCAACGACCTGTCCAAATGGCTGACAGTTTAGATATGGCAACCCTGTTGTCATTAACAGAGTCAATGACACATATTTATATAGATTGCTCAAAGCTGGTCGTTTGCGAGCGGACAT